CTCTCTCTCTCTCTCTCTCTCTCTCTCCCTCTCTCCCTCTCTCTCTCTATCCCTCTGTTTTGCACAATAATTCCAGTGCCCCCCTGCACCCCCTCTTTCTCACTCTTTGTGCTGTGAAACCACCAGCTCTGTGTTTGACAGCAGACTCAAACAAATCCACAAGTCTTGGCTGGGCTCTCCGTTGCCACAGGGGCTTGAGTGTTTCCGCCCCCTTCAATGCCTCCAAACCCCTCTGACACACTGTGATCTGCAGCCAACCCCTCCCCGTCTCCCTCACTCCCCCTGCCCCTCCCGCTTCATCACCCTCGCCCTTCACACTCACACTCACTCACTGAGGCCTGTGGATGCCACACACTCCCACTTCATGGACACGCTCCAGTGAAGCATTTGCTGAATGCACTTAAAAAAAAACTTTTGGGATTGAAAACCAAACTTGCTTTATCACCCCAAAAAAAAAAGAAACAAAAGACCTACTCACTGGGCCTGACAAGTTTGCCAGGTCGATGTGTTTGTGAGCTGTGGCCAGCACAGGAGGAGGAGGGAGGGGTGGGGGGTGGGCTGTACCAAGCATGTTGAGGGTGAAGGGGAAAGGGATAGACAAAGGGGCTGGTTATTTATAACATCCTGCCCCTGAGTTTTAGAAAATACCCAGGCTCATTAGAGATTTCCTTTTGAGGGTCAGGGTCAGCAGGCCCAGATGTTGATGGTTTCAGCAGAGTAGCAAACACAAGGGTCAAGGGACAGGACCTAAACAGGTATCGAGGCCAGGACTGTTCAAATAAACATATGTATGTTTAAGTCAATGAGCCAAAATGGAGGTAAAGGGGGTTAAAGGTCACCTCTCAGGTCTGCACGGGACGTTCAGGAATCGCCAGACATTTGTAAAAAGCACTATGTGTTTGGATTCATTTTACAAAGAGAAATGTACGATGGGTCCTCGACTTTGTAGGACATAGAAACTGTGTGCAGTAAAAAATGAAATTCCTTACCTTTACTCCTGTGGTTGGCTTGAACACTGGGTGTTGCAGAACAACCCAATCGAAAGAAAACGAATGTAGCATAATCCAAAGTATCCTTTAAATAAATTCATTTATGGGAGACCGCAGGCCGATGACATCATAAACCGAAACACCGCAGGCCGATGACATCATAAACCGAGGACCTCCCGTATATTTTAAAAGCAACTCCATAGTAGAATAGAAGCATATTTTAACTTCTGTAAAACTGCAATCATCTAATACTGTCTCTTTCATTTTACATAAATCTAGTCCATTACTTTTGGATTTAGGTTTACCAGAGGCTGAGATTTGCAAGTCTTTTGTAATAGACGGGTCATTGTCAAACCACCAAACCTCCAACTCCACACTCCACTCAGCTTCTTTTTTTTTTTTCATTAAACACAGGAAATAAAATTACGAATTAGTGTAATTTCCCCCCTGTGGCAAGAATAAGTAAATTCTTGAAATTAAAATTCATTTGAACTGCTATGCTTGCCTGCAATAACTCCACAACTCCCAAGGAGGCCCGCCCCCTACTTTGGGAACCACTGCTTTGGGTAATTATACCTTTTAAACCATTCAAGTGCTTTTAATATAAGGAATGTGATGTCATTTACATCCCAAACATTTTCTCGATTTAGAGCTTCAGTGTAGAGATGCTTTACAAAACACTTAGTACGTGAACATGTTGGGTCTCACTCGTGCATCCGTCAGCAGCACATCTGTAAGCACTTGTTGGACGTGGAGTCATTCGCCATGTCTTTCAATTGATTAGCCACTGAGCGCAGCAGCTTTATGTGGCTCTTGGTAAAGATATATTTAGACTGTGTGTTGCCGAGTGTTTATAAAGTGATACTTATTTATGTCAAGTTGTAGAGATGAGGAGAAACACAACGGCAGCGTTGTGCTTGGCATTGAACACAAAGCATCCTGGAAAAGCGGATCTTACTGCCCGGATAACGTTTATCTGGTCGTTATACAGTATTCACAGACAAATGTGAAGTCATTATGTTTTGAAAAGGTGCTAAAGTGCCTCCAACAGCATTTGGTTAACGTTACAGCTCAAGAACACCGCTGCCTTATTCCCTCTCCCCCTGTTATTGTTTTATTTATGCTAATGTTTTGTGCCGTTTAATTGCACATTGAGTTAATCTGTGTGTAAAATGTTCTGTGTACATGGATGGAGCAGACTTTTAATATAGGCCTAATGAAAGTGTAATTATAGGGATAGTTTAGAATTTTATCAGCATGGAGGCTTTGCGACTTCCATGATTTGGAAAAAAGCTACTAAAATATACACCGAACAAAATATCAAATATCACTAGAATAAACACTTTAAGCCTTTCCACAAATGTTTTTTTTTTTTTTTTGGCTGTGAATTGTAAAGTCCGTTAAGAAAATGACTGAATGTTTTTTTGCTTTTTGTTTTTTTACAGTTCAGTTATATTTGTGGGCCTCTGCTGATGTGGGGCAGCAGTAGATCAACAGCTCCTTTATGCTGCGTGTTGATTTTGTTTAAACTTCATATTTAAGTGCTGACAAGAAACTAGTTCTGCTTCTGCCAAATTAATCAAATACATTTCTGGACGATGTGAAAAAATCTTTCTCAGTGTTGTAGGTACCCAACCTCTGGTCCGGGGGCCAGTGTTGGTCCGTAGGTCATTTGGTACCGGGCCGCAGTGGGAGAGTGGAAAAAATCAGTTTTGACTTTTTTCATTCAAAGATAATCTGTCAATGTTTCAAAACAACAGACTCTGATACTAACAGAAGAAAGTCTGAAAGATGTTGTTTGGGGACCGCTATTTCAGGTCACCTCCTGTAGGTCTCACTGAATGTCCCACTACTACAAACCAAACAGTGTCTGGGCTTCATCATTGGTCCTTCAGTCACACATGTTTCTCAAAGAACAGTTCGTCCCAACTTCAGGCTCCACCCTAATGGTTCCTGAACTTCCTGGTAGCCTTCCTCTTTAGCAAACATTACTTTGAGGCCAAAGAATGTAGTCGCGTTCCTCTTTGATACAGTCCAAACATCTATGCCTCACCACCACACTGTCTCCATGTCGTGGTTATTTCCAGGTTGTCAGCCAAATTGATGTCACTTTGTAAAATGAAGTCATTTTCTGGGGTTTTTTTTTTTTATTTTTTTAGATTAAACAGTGCAGCTTCCCACCCTGCCTCTCCAGCAGGTGTTTTTCAGTGCACTGCGTGGGAAGATGAATGGAATGAAACCAGACACTTTTTAGATTATGAATTAGCGCACCATCAGAAAGTATTTGTGTCATGTTGCGTTATTCAGAGAAACAAATCGCCAACTGTTGGCATTATCAGAGACAAGCGTCTATGTCTAGGTATTTTTGTCAGTTTGAGAAACAGGTGAATGAAGAGGTTAAATTCCTGTCATATTTGTCTGTCAGATATTGAAGTGGATGCTTCACTATGTTTTGGTTTCCTTTTACAGACTCCACATTTTGACCCCGTGTTGCTATAGTAAATATTTTATGGATGCAAATGTCATTCATCTGTGGTGTCGCCTGGAATTCAAACAGAGAATTCTGTTTTCACATTGTACTCTTACTGTATACGATCTAAACATATAATCCCTGTTTGACCTCAGCTAAAGTGCGTTTTAATTCCTCCATTTTTCAGGTCACCTTTCGGACAAGGATCTATCACTGCAACATCAACAGTCAGGGTGTGATCTGTCTGGACATCCTGAAGGACAACTGGAGCCCTGCCCTCACCATCTCCAAGGTCCTGCTGTCCATCTGCTCCCTGCTCACAGACTGTAACCCAGGTAAGGGTCACATTCATGGTGGACTTTGTACACTAGGGCCTTGACTTTTTCCTACACTTAAGTCTTTCGTTGGATTTTGAAAACATTTCAAATACAGATACATTTTGAATTTTGGACCATCTGTATTCATATTGTAATAGTCCATATTACAAAGTGAGAAAGTGGATGCGTAAAGTTAAGAAACTCACATCAGATCACAGACACAAAGGCATTAATGAAAGGAAATGTGTTTATGTCATACGTTTATAGCTATTAACAGCTATACATTTAAGTTTGGCACAAAAAACAAATTGTTTAAAGTTATCATTTAAATTATTATTTTTGAGGGTTAAAACCTGAACAAATTAAAATGTAGTAATGATAAAAAAAAAGTCAGTGTCACTGTCACTGCAGTTCATAATGACTTGACTTGAACACTGTCAGTGCAGTTCATAATGACTTGACTTGAACATTTTTCTAGTTCATAAAATTACCACAATATATAATTAGAACACATCTCAAAACTTTGAAACTTACCTCTGTAGTGTAAAACTAAATGAAATCACATCTCACCCAGTTGTGTTTTTCTCACTTGGTGAATTGAATCTATATTTTATTTTAAAGTATGTTGTTAAATAATGAACTTTTTTTATTATTATTCTACGCTGACAGAGAATTTTTTTAATCAGTGTTTATACTTTCCTGCTGCTACAGTACCATGCGTTCCCTAGATTAACTTAACACTTATTTGCTCAAAGCAAAATGTCAAGCTGCTACAGAGAACATTTGTGAAATAAATTACCACCACTTCTGTGCTAAGATTCAATAAATAATAAAACCCCAATTTCAGAGTGGCTTTTGCCGGGTGTTGCAGTATAAACAAATATCATTTCAAAGTTATTTTTTTTCTGTTTCTGAACTAACTGCCGTCTCACTCCAAAATCCACACGCTCTTAAAGAGATATTTCAGGTTTTTTTAATTTGGTCCTGATCCCTGTGGTGGAAACCACCTTTGTTTCCGTACTTCTTGCGACCAGTTCTCAAAACGCACCCTCTGCCTTTAAAGCACCATTCACCCAGCATGTAGACTGAGGTCAGACAATGGTTCTTCAGACTGCTGGTTCACATGGGAGCTGAAAACTGACTCTTTTTGCTGCACGTTTTGGTTGACTGTACTGTGTGTGAATATAATGGAGGTCATCCAAGCAAAGACAATTAACCTCCAGCCATTTTTATGCTGCTTCAGTTCCTGGTGCTCAATCTCCTTAAAGACTGTTCTGCTCCAAAGGGACTTCCTTTGTCTCTGATATGATAAACTGCTCATTGATTCAGCTGAATTTGAGAAGCTGTAATCAAGTCTCCTGAAGGTCACTATCATCAAATCAAAGCTGGGGCTGACACTGTGGCACGATGTCGTTCAGACACGGTAAAAAACTGGTTGACGGCTCACTTGTGTAAAATGTGGGTTTTTTAAAAAAAAAACCATGAGTTGATGTTCATGGTTTAGTTTCTTTCATACAGAGAAAAGAAAAAATATATATACAATATACAGTATATGCGTGTGTATACAGGTATACATATACATGTGTACCGGTATATATTTATATGTATATATAAATATATGTGTGTGTGTGTGTGTTGTGTGTGTGTGACATATACAGTATATATATATACACATGTATATGTATGTGTGTGTGTGTAGGTTTATATGTTTGACACAACACAGGGCATATATTTACCTCTCAACATAGGTGGAATATTTAAAGTAAAGCTGTGAACTGGTCCACACTGACCTTGTGTCAGTACTTCATACTCAAAAGTAAAAATACCTTAACCTTTGACCTGGAATTCAGTGTAAGTTGTGTAAAACCAAACATTCTACATTGACTCAGCACACACTAAAATCTAGAATCGTAATCCACAGAGCACTTCCTGTTTTAATGCAGTGTGCGGCACGTAAATCACAGTTCACTAATGTTGAACTTTAATTGGATGTTCATTCCTCCAATAAAAACACAGCATTTTCTCTCTGTCTATCATTTTCTTTGAGTGCGTTTTATGGCAATACAATATTAGGTGAGTGACCAGGGGCAGTGAAGGTTACAGTCCAGAGGTAATTCAAGGCTGCTGTTCATGTACAACAGCATTAAGGTGATTGGCTGAGCTTGTAAAGTGTGTTTGTTTGATATACCGATACATCATCGGCCCTGTGTGAGCGCTGTGTTCCCAGATAGACACCAATACTAGCTGTTACTTGAAAGCATGTCTGTCAGCAGGGATGTAAGAAAAACAGATGTTGGCCACTTAGCAAAAGACTCACTGAATTCTACACCCACTCTTGAATACCTTTGAGAAACTGTTGATGATTTCCCTAAACCACTCACTACTGCTGCCACAAATCCCACAGAGAAAGTCGTTGCTTTTTACATCACAGCAAACAGGAGATTTTAATCCGCTGCTTCATGGTGTAAAATACTTGGTATGGATTTATCTCAGTGGCCCCAAGGTCACTCGTCAAAGCAACAACGCACTATAATTTCATCTGTCAAAGTGAGCTTAAAATGCAGATTTCTTTTTTTCTGTGGCCTAGGAGTGTGAGTTTTTCCAAACTTCAACTTACAATTGGAGAGAGAGAGCCAATTGAAAACAAACTCAACAAACTTAAGTGCAATACCCTTGAGGCTCACTGAAAACTACATTATACATACAGTACTTGAGTCAGAATATCTGATGATGTGAGCAGAATACACATTTACACCTGAAGCTATTTTGAGGCCACGTTAAGAAAAGAAAGGCAGGAACCGGTGAGACGTTTGCTGTACTGTTTCTTTAGTGTGCTGTAATACAGCGGTACCCTTAAATCCTGGCTTTTACCAGTTACTACCAGAACTTCGCACCAGACATCTTACGTCACTGATTCTTTTTTTAACACAGTCTGTTTCCTTAGGTTATGTCAGAAATCGTGCTTTTTAATTTGCAAATTGTTTTTCTTTTTTGTATATGAAATAATACCTTAATTCTGATTTATCTGTTACATTTGCTTATGTACAGCACTGATCTCCTGGGGTTGTTTAACTCATTTTGTCTCGCTCTCTTTTTACCTCTGTCTCCTTCCTGTGATTACCTTGCAGCTGATCCTCTGGTGGGAAGCATCGCCACACAGTACCTGACCAACAGAACAGAGCATGACAGAATAGCCAAACAATGGACGAAGAGATACGCCACATAAACTCCCCGCTTCTTCACCACCTGCACCCTTCGTTGTACCTCTCTCTCTCTCTTTCTCTCTACCTCTCTTACTCTAACCCCCCCGAGTCTGTCAAAGCACACTCACTAAAGCTGTATTTTCATCATAAAGTGCCAAGAACTTTACGACCAGGAAGCATTGTACCTTGACATGTAAGGGGGGGGGGAAAGCAACATTAATTCCTAAACATTGGCTCATTCAAATCTTTAGGTCTGCCTGGAATTTGTTCTTAACCTGACTGGACAAACTTGCCTGGACTTTGTCAGTCATTTACTCAAAAGCATTGCCTTTAAAACAAAGTCCACTTTCAAAGCCTTTAAATTCACTAATCAAAGAGAAGTCATATTTTGGTTTTTGTTTTTTTTAATAATTCCAAATAGTCACCACCATTATCTGAAACAAGTTAGATCAGGGGTGTCAAACATGTGGCCCATGGGCCAAAACCGGTCCGCAAAGGCGTTCAATCTGGCCCGCTTGATGAATTTTGAAAATGCACAAACACTTCATTTTGGTAGTGTTTTGTCAAATTATGTTTCAGTAAATATGAATATTTTCTAATATACTTGTACTTAATTGCAGGAAAACAAAACAGGGAAAACATGGACTTTTTGTTATTTAAAGGTAATTATGTTATGACTGTACTGCTCTGACCCACTTGACATCTAATCAGGCTGTTTGTGGCCCCTGAACCAAAGTGAGTTTGACACCCCTGAGTTTGATGAAAGCCCAGCTAACACTCCTAACGTGGTACACAGGTCTTAAGGCCCAGCGTTTCTAGTTTTTTCCGTTGTATTTGACCCTATGTAACTGATGGACAGAGCCATATGGTTACAGTGATTGGAAAAGAAAGACCTGGTGTAAATATATATGTTTAAAGAGAACACAAAGCTACTCATAACATCTGTCAATATTTTTCTTAACATCTCATGGTCTCATGCTGGAAAGGTTTCAGAACAAGAAATTTTGTAAATAACAATTTTACTTAGATTAAAAAAAACCCACACAAAAAAACAAAGCACAAGTTACCAGCCAATAGGACCATGGCACAGGAAACAACGTCTGACAATGTTGAATGCTGATGTCACCAGACTCCTAGTGGACCAGCTACCAGTTAGGTAAAAGCAGTGTTACCCCTTAAACTCTCCAATTGTAAACCATAAATAACAGCTACTGTATGTCCATGTTTTATACAGTTTATGTTCAAAGTCATGTTAAACAGATTATCTCTTAATTAAAAAGTAATTTTTCTGCAGTCCGGGAAGTTTGGTCATTCTCAGACTTACCTTTTGAACAAGGAAAAGGGATTTAAAAAAAGTTTGTGGACCTTCCGGTGAAAACGCACACTTCCTGGTACTGTCTCCAGTTCCTGGTACTAGTTCCCGTGATGAAAATACGCTTTAAAGTGCAACAGTATACCTACCCTCTTGTCACCCTATACCGATCCTCTTCTCCTTCCTCTTCCTTCTTTAAACATTTTATCTACCTTTTCTGTGTAAAAAAAAAAAAAAATCAAACTACAACAAAAAAAAAATGTCATTGTTCCTTGTTATCTTGAAAGCTTCTTTTTATACAAAGAGTAGATTGGGATTTTTATTTTCCAATATCTGATTGTTGGAAGTATTGTATTGGAGGAAAAAAAACCCAACAGAATATTATAATAATTCTACGCATTGTCCTGCAGCTCTACAGTAAGTATTCACAGTTTCTTAGTGGCACAAACATGCAGAGAATACAGTATGCTTTTATAAAAAAAAATGTTTTCCCTGTTCTTTTTTTGTTTATTATTTTCTCTGTATATGTCATGGAAATGTTACCTGCATGGAACAGGAAGGTTTTTTGCGTCAGTGGATCCTTTAATGCTTTTTAACACCCTCTGGTTTTGTTTGTACTGTATTTACTGTAATTTTTTTTTCCTCAAAAAGGCTTTTTTGAGGCAGACCACAGACGTTTGGGGGTCAGCCTGTGAAAGAGGCAGGACTTGTTTTATTTACCGGCTACCCGCCACCTCTGCGTTTGCAGAGTTGTTTGTTGTGCACTTGTGTTACTGAAGCACCCAATTAAACACACTGTGGTTGGCTCGTGAAAAAAAAAAATTGACTGCTTGTTTTATTTTCAGCTTTATCTATTATACCTGCGCTCACTATGCCTGAGCACAGCCACGTTGTTGAGGAAAGCCATTTCAGCTGCAGTTACCCAGGATTTCAATTCTGTCAATAACCACCAACGCCTACTACCACAGGCAACGTTTTGTACTGCTCAACTCTTCATGGCAGGCACTGTCAGAAAATCTGTTCTTCCATCCCTCATTCTTCACCAGTTCATTTATTTTTCAATCTGTTTTTGAATGAGAAACAGTGTTAGACTTGGAAATGAGAGACAAAAACAACACCTTATACACATTTTGCATTCACTTTTTGATTGGTGTTAATCCACTTTCATAGCGGTATTTTATGTGGATCATGCCTCTAAAACACCTGTCTAATGGAGATAGTAATCGCTTGTGAAGCTGCTTGTGTGTATTTCTGAACTGACTGGATTCTTTTGGAATGAAGTAAATTAGTAAAACTGAAGTGCATTTTTTTAGTGTCTCATTGCGGCCCTGTACCAATTGATCTGTGGACCGGCGCAGGTCCCCAGACCAGGGCTTGGGAACCCCTGAGCTTCATTTCTTTTTCTTTGGTTTGATTTGTCAGTTGAACACTTCACTCCAGATGTTTAAAGGTTTATTCCGACTAGAACATTACTGATGAAAATTGAAGACTAAATCTACATCCACGCATAGATACTCCTCCAGAGTTTTAAACACAGAACTCAGGTGTGAGATTGATAATGAAGTGTTAAAATGAGACAAGCATTCTTTACAGAGAATGGATCACAACCCAAGTGGATCACGAGTTTTTAGTCAGAGGGATGCTACAGGTATATGGAGATACAAGTATCTCCATCAACCATATCTTAACATCTCAATTTTGATGAAGCCCATTAGCTACAATGCTAAAATGTCTGATTTGTTGTGTCTGATTATAGACACATTGATACCATTTTATTGGCATTCTGAATGAAAGGGAAAATCAGAGTGAGGTTTAGGTTTTCAAAAGGCAACAGCTCGCATACCGAGGCACAAATCCTGACATCTCGAGAGACGGGATATCTAATATTTTATTTTTGAAAGCCTTTTCTAATTGACCTGTGCACATAAATAATGAAATGGTCATTAGGCTATAAGACAGCGAGCAGGAAGTTTGCCAAACTCCGTCCCGTCCTGTAGTGATGGATGGTGAAACAATAACGGCACAGTAAACCTGGCAAGGAGCAGATAAAGAGATTAAGCTGATGCGTTGCAGTTATGGAGATTGTCTTGATAAATCAACCTTTCTGTAGCTGGACCTTAAATCTGCGAGGCATCAAGATGTCCTGTCATATAGTGTCTGGTGTTTGTAAAAGAGATAAGTGGGATATATATATGCTGCAGTATTTCACGTCATTGGAAAGTATTGCATTCTATGTTGCGATTAGTGCAAATATCCTCCACAGATTTTCCCGTAGAAATGCCTATGGAAAATATATATCTTAGTGAAAACAGCATTTGTCTGACCTATACCTCAATCCTGCACAATACTTCAGCATAAATCTGACAGAAAATGTCCAGACTGTGTTTTCCTGTTATTCTTTTCCTCACATTTAACATGTCTGCATATGAATACGATACAGTATGCACACCACGTGTCCTTCTTTATCTGTTTAGAAACCAATAGTGGTGTCACAATATTAGCATAGGGTCATTCACGGTCTTCAGAGATCACACCATTAACCTTTTCCACTCGTGTGTCTGTGAGCAGGTAACAGTGCACAATGCGCATTACGCCTCATTTGCTCGCTGCACTTTGCAGCTCTCTTAATATGTTAGTCATTGCAATCGTCCCACTACTGTGGTCAGGTGTAGGGCCGCTGTTTTTTATGTGCTAAGACTCACGGAGCACAAACAGAAATATCCACGTTAACCCTGTGTCAGTGTGAAAGTGTGATCTGCTGCTGCTACATAAAATATCTGGTGCGATTATAATAATAGTCTGTTAGTGATGAGTCATTCCTGGCTGCAACCACGAACATGTGGTCAGGTTAAGTGGGTTCTCAGTTTCCATTCATGGACAGAGCAATTTGGTCATAGAAAAAAAAACTTGTATTAAATTAGAATTTCAAAGAAGTGTTAAGTCTCAAGTGTAACGGAACGCGGACCAAACAACACAGAAATAAAACACATGGATCCACGGTCGGTTGGATAAAGGTGTCTGCTAAATGTATTGTAATGTTATGTAATATTACAGTCAACACTTTTAAACATAACAATTATTTACTTGTACTTGTTATCACAATCTAAAAACCCCAGTCTCTCCTTGAGAGGCAGGATTATTAGGGAGTTTAGAAACTATAGGAGTGGTGTTTTGAGCACACACCTTATGATTAAGCTCAGAGAAATGTATCTCATCCAGTTATTAAGGTTGTAGGCATTATTATATCTAAAATGAAATGATATATATGACATATATCAATTAAAGAATTAAAGACTACGTAGAATTGCAAAAATTCAACATCAACTGATGAGATAGTCCAGACAATTTAGACCTAAACAGCAAAACCTAGCTATGATGCGAAATTAATGACTTTTTTGACATACCAATTTGCTAAAATAAATTTAAAAAATACATTTTTTCTTAATAGTTATTTCATTTTGTGATGAAACTCGCAGGGAATATTTTGATGATGTGAAACACATGTTACCAAATTCTTCTACCTATAAAACCAACCAAATTTTTCCAAAATAATTTAAAAAAACAAAATACGTATTTACCAAAATCTTCTACCTATAAAACCAACCAAAGTTTTCCAAAATAATTTAAAAAAACAAAACATTTTAGTAAAAATACTGGAATTGTAAGAAAACAGCTTAATGTGAGTCAAAAGGAGAAGATTCCATAAAGTTGACCAATAAACTATGTGACGTGTCAAAAGCGTGTTAAATAAATAAATAAAGAGAAAAGCCATAAATAAATAAACATAGATTCCATATTTGTCACGGACCGTAGAGTCCTACTTTCCAGCGGCAGCAGCAGGTACCGGTACTGTACAGCCCACTGCAGCCGCGGGGAGCTACTTCCGTTCCGCAGAGGGCGACAGGCAGCACCATCACCAGGCAGCCGAGACTGAGGCGGTGGAGGTCCAGACACAATAGACGGGGGTAAGTTTGGACGGCGAGCGATTGGAGAAAACGAACCGTTTGCCCAGACAATATTCTGTTCGTGTTTGGCGTCGATTTGTGAGCGGCTTGGCTTCCTGTGCTTGTATGTATTTTTCCGCGGAGGTCTACGCTCGGTTTCTGTCGGTTCTCCGGCGCAGAAAGGACGAGAAAACAAACAGGGAGCGTGTTCTGCTGCTGCTGCTGCTGCTAGAGGAGCCCAGTGTTTCCTGGACGAGTCTTTACCTGGTTTATTGTAATTTTAAATTATATCTCATGTGTTTGTCGAGTTTAGCCTTGAGTCGCCTCGATGTACGCTCTGTTGAAATATTTGCTCAGCGTTTTTAGAAAAACAAAGGCGCTTTAAATGGAAGTGGTGTGGCCTGAGTGTTGGGGGTTGGTGGGGGCGGGGGGCAGGTTCGAAGCTGAAGCTTTGTGCTAAAAAACCGCCATGATGAAATAACTGTTACTTACCGCTTGCATTTACTCATAAACGTTTGTGTAAGGAAACACGGCGATGCAAGTTTAAGCTAGTGAATTGCCAAGTGTGCTGTGAGCTAGGCTATAACGGCTTTTCCCTAAGCGTCACGGAAAAGGTAATAGCAGTTTTGTTAGCGCCCCCAACCCACGAGCCCAGTGTCATTAAAATGCAAATTTTCGCACTCTGTGTACTGTGGTCAGAGAAACATGTTATTCACGTTACGGTCACCTCAGCCGCCTCCTCTGACATACGTACAAGGCTACGACGATCTTACATAATTTGGTACAATTGATTACATTTCAATGACAGCTTTAAACTTAACACTCATGTTTCACAAACTTTCCAAACGTGGGGCTCCACTTTTTACATCCAAATATTAAATCATGATAAAAGCACAAGTTAGCATAATTACTGCAACAATATATCTTGTCTCTCACTTGCAAAATACTTGGCCTTGATATCTGCCCAGTGCTTTTGAAGCATTCTATTTCTCTTGTATCAAGGAAATAGCCGGAGGTCACTAACTGTCTTGAAGTTTATCATTTGCAAATTAAATCAGTAGCAGAAATCTATTTTTTGTGTAAAATGTATCATCCCAACATGGCAATACCTAACTCTAGTTAAAAAACACAATCATCTTTATGTGATTTTTTTTTTTCCATGATTGATTACTATGTACAGGCTTCTTTTGGACAGGTAGTAGCTATCACTGTCATGCAGGGACATCATACGTTGCCCCCGACCCCCCTTTCTGACCAAATATGACCATAATTCTAAACAATTCAGAAATTAACTGATTAAGATCTTAAAACAACCATAACTGTCATCAAGGTAGAATACACATGAACAATGTGACTTTTGTAAAAGTCAAAGCTTCTGCTTATTCCGTGACAAAACAAATTCCAATGGCTTATGTATATGAGCTCCTGTTGCAGCTGCTGTAGTCCACATTAACTTTTCAAAATTTCCAATTTCAGTTGTCTTATGAGTTGTCTGTATCAAGATCTAACTATGCTTTTGTTTTCACGCCATTTATTGAAATAAGGAAGAAGAACCAACTTTATTGGTCATTCTACGTGTAAAGAAACATATTCACCCAACCAAATTGCCCTCATCATTTAACCCACCCCTAGGGAGCAGTGGGTTCTTTCAGCTGTGCCCCAGAGAGTGAGGGAATTTTTGGTTCTTGCTTAACACATCACAGTCCTTCAGCAACAAGCCAATGGTCTCTGGTAAGAGACCATGATTGATTTGATGACACTACTCATATAAAAGAGCTCAGCACCAGATGCTTTCCAATAGCATTATGCTCATTTAACATGCTGAACGGTGTTCCCAGTCGTTGACTGACAAGAACTTTGTTGCATATCTTCCAATATGACATTTTCTCAATCACTTCAACCCTCGCTGCATTCAGAATGAACGGTGACTTGAAAATAGTCCTGAAAGTATTGAAGCAGCCAAAAATGATTAAAAAAAACTGCTATCTAGTCTGCTCAAAAACGTTACCTTTAAATACACCAAAGAATTTACTTTTTTGTGCACTGTTACGAATGTTCAATGGTCCATTTTAAAGAGTTACGTTACAAATGTCAATGTCTGTTTGCTGCAGGCTTTATAGCTCACAAAACACGGGTTTCAGTCAAAATTTCAATTTAAAACAAAGCAGCTGTGAAATGCTACCATTAAACACTTGAAGGGTAATAACACGGCTAAGCCGTACTTTAACATTAATGGTTTGTTTGATAATAATGTTATCGTTTTACTGGAGTTGCTGCATGCTTTGATGACGTCTTACAAAGTAATGGCATTTCCAGGGTTGGGTTGTGGTATATACATAGGGATTTGGGTTGATCGAAGATGGGGTTTCAAACACACTGCCCCCATCTGCTTTGGAAGAGGAATTTAAGATCTGAAGCGCTGTCAGCTCAATGCAGTAAAATGGGAGGGAGCGTCATTTTAAACACCTGTTCAGAGCAAGCATGTTGTTTATGTTTGTTATGTTGACACAAACTAATACATTCAACAGTTCCTAAATTTTCTCTAATGGCAGAAGTGTGTTAAATCGAGAGATAAATATTTATGTCGAATGTGAAAGTTATTTTTTTGTCCTCATGAATAATTATAGACAGTTGTTGTGCAGGTTAGCTTACACTGCTGTAATAAATCACTCTTAAACGTCACACCAGTTGTTATTGTTGCACAGTCGACTGATGCTTCTTGTCTTGTTTATTTCTCCTTCAGGTTTCCGGCTCTTCTTCAATCCAAACCGGTATGTCGGATGAGGATTCCCGTGCCAGCACCAGCTCTTCCTCGTCACCACCATCCTCCAGCCAGACCAGACAGAAGGACACACCTTGTAAGAAGAAACGGGAAAGCAAAGTCAGCATGAGCAAGACCTCCAAGTTGCTTTCCACCAGCGCCAAAAGGTAAGAAACAAAACCGCCAGGTAATTTCTCATGCTGTGATGAAGTGGCTGTGAAGACTGTGAACATGCTGGATGTTGGTGATGGAGCTGGCAGGCAGTGGGGAGAAAAAGAGGATTGATTGATATGACGGAGAAGAATGAAGAAGATAGTTGGTAACAAATTAAGATGAAGGACAGAAAAAGATGGAGTCAAATGATCTACTTGGGAGACTGACTGATACAGAATAATGATTTAATAGGTCTAATAGTATGTAATAGTGGTCCCTCGCTATTTCGCGGTTCATCCTTTGCGACTTTGTGGGTTTTTGAAAAAAAATACTGTATCCCGGATTTGGATCTGCAAGAGATGTCACAGGAATGGGACGACGATATGGTTCGATCGGTCCAATTTTGCAACAAAATCGACGACGTCGTGACTGCCTACAAGCTACTCTTCGACTGGAAAAGAAGCAGCTGAAGCAACTGCCGATCACGATGTTCGGCAGCCTCGCAAAAAAGAGCCAGTTCCTGCTACTACTACGGATACACCTTCAGAAACCTTGGAAGAGGTGCCCCAAGAAATGGCACCACCCTCTGGAGAGACGTAAAATCAATCATCGGCTGCACAGTAAAAGTCATCATCACCTTCCCCATGATCATTTTACTGCGCATAAATATGGTGTCACTACTTCGCGGAAATTCAGTTCTCGAGGCAGGCCTTGGAACCTATCTACCACGATAAACGAGGGACCACTGTAATTCTCAAATAATGTCTGTTAATACCATGGTACTATTTTGCTTATAGATAGGATTCCAAAAGAGACGAGAAGAGAGAAGTTATATCCATGCCTGTACATTGGGTATTAGACATGTTACTAAATAGAATTACATCATTTGCTTCAGTAACGATTGGCTTGTTGTAATGAAAAAAAAATATCATCACTGAATTGGACTCACAACGGCAGTGAGTCATAGACATAAGACATAAACAGAGTGTCAGAGTGATCAAAGAGCAGTTTGACCTATTTCTTATGTCAGATTGCTGAAAAATCCTTCAACGCTCAAAGCAGTCAAGAGGTTTTTCCATCCTAACGTTGCATCGACAGCTGAGACACACGGCAGGACCGCGTTACAGTTTCTGCTTCACTTCTCGTCACGTCAACTTTAAAAAATAAATGTGTTCTTTTAAAATGGTTAGGAAGAGAACTAATGCTACCAGGTCTGGTCATGTTAAAACCTGCTGATGTTTCTCCTCTAGGAGAGGGCCATCTTACCAAACTCTTTGCATATCTGTGTCTGCCTTTCACCCTTCACTTTTACATCAATTATGTGGCAGCAATCCATTACCAGTATAAAAGGTGAACAGAGTGACAAAGAAGACATTAACAATATGAAGGAACTGTGTCCAAAGCTGGCAACAAGAATGCGGGTATTTTTCACAGAAAGGAATATTGTATATAATCGGGGTATAATGGTGTTTTATATGGTGTATAAAATGTTTACCTTGTAAATGAATAGCATTTGAAAGCAACCCTTGCTAAACAACTAACGCCATTGGTCAGAACAACTTTTAAATACAACATTTTAAATTCACTATTCATTTTCTTATTCTTATATTATTGGTCTTAAACAGGTCACACAACATTATACATGTTATCATTTAATATTTAAAACTAAATTCAATTTTTTTTCCAACTTAAAATATATTTTGCAAAAACAACCGCCATCTAACAACACTCTTTTCCCCCATTGTATTATATTAATTATTTATTAATTAATTATATAATTAATTTTATGAGTCATGACCCCGTTTAGTGGACAATATTCAATACATTTTAACATTATTGGGACACCGCATCATGTAATCTGCCAAATACGACTTTTGTTCAGTCAGGCAGAATAACATTCAGTGTTTGTGACTAGGTGTTATCATCTCCATCTCATCTGTGCTGCAACTCATACAGGGGAATCATTCTGTTGCCTTTCTAGTTTCATCACTTAGCATCATTTTGCATTGGTATTAGTATGCATTTCATTTTTGTGAAGAAATGATTGGTTTGCAAGAGAAACTGTGGTTCCATGGTTGATTCAGTAATCATTTAAAAAAAAAACACAGATTAGGAGTTTCATTGGACCATAAGTCATAATATTTCTGTTGTTTCCGCTGCAGAACAAATGGAGCCGCTCTTTTCCTTTCATAGACAAACAATAGAATTCCTTTACACGATCTTCGGGACTATTTTTATGATGTATGATCAGTTACTGACACAATCGTCTTCTGTGGCTACGGCGGGAAAACGTTCAATACTTACAATGAATCTAATTTAATAGTAACGTCTCTGGAGATGATGGATTACAAATGTGAGAAACCTTTGTCCTGGAAAGATTTTTTTTTTGTCCTTTGTTTGAAAAAATCCACTTTATCGCCTTTTTGAACATGCAGAAACTGACTTTGTTAATGTTTTGTTTTTTGTGTGTGCAGGATTCAAAAAGAGCTGGCTGATATCACACTGGACCCTCCGCCAAACTGCAGGTTAGTTTCATCGTACATAAGCTCAATAATATCCTGTCCTGTTGTGGGTCATAAAAGTGGGACAGTATGTTCTAACAGTCTTTTAGTTGTCCAAAAAGTGACAGCTCCTATTAGAAATCCGAGCGTCGAAAACACTAGTGTAGACCGCTGATACTTCATAGTGAACTCTGCTGAATACTTTTGTGTGAAGTAGAGATGAACCGAACAGACCGACTGGTGATTAGAATGTGACGATTTTCATCATAATCCGCCCTGACTGGCAACTGAACAGTCAACACTCTGATGTTCTTGTGCAAAGGGGTTTGTTTGTGTCTATAATGTACATGGTTATATATATTTTGAATGTCCGTTCAGAAAGATTCTTAGATTGTCCTGAGTGTTGGTGTGTGTGTAATACCAGTTTGATCTTTCTAGTTGCCTTTCATGGGATCTGTCAGGATATGTAGGATTAGCAGTGCATGCATGATATTATAGGACATACATTATTGGTTGCTCTTTTGTTGGCCTTTAGATTTACATTAAAAAGGAACTCAAAAGGCTAGAGATAGAGACATACAAGAAACGGATACCAATGATCTCTGTCTTGTTTCAGATATAATTCCTCGTGTTCAAGATTTAATGTTATTAAATATTGAGTTTGGCTCACGACTTCATACCGGTTTTTAATTTTGGCCCACTGTAAATTTGAGTTTGACACTTCTGGTTTAAATAAACAGTCAGGACACATGACGTCACGGTGAGAAGAAAAAAAAAAGTGTAAGGATACATTTGTGTTGAATTTGACAACACTGTGTTTGTCACAGTAGCTTGTTTGGACCAAGCACTTGATTGTTTTAGGATTGAATACAGTTTGCCCATGTGCCGTTAAGATCTGTGAGCTCTCTCTGGTGGAACAACATACGTCTTTGAACCATCATGTTATGATTATGGCATGCTTCCTCAAAACACTAACGTCTGAACCAAAGGCCTCCTCCCTCCTGCAGAGGCCAAAGGCAAATCACTGAAGCTCTGCCGTTAGGCTTGACCTCTGACCTCTGAGAGAAAGAAGAAAAGGAGTCTCTTGTCGTCAGAGCTAAACAGATCAAAAGAGCGACCCGAGGGCACAGACATTTCTAAAAGTGAACACTTTTTCTTTGAAATTCTGCTCGGTGGAAGAAGGAAAAAAAAAAAAACAAAGAATGCAGTGTTTGTTCACAGCTACTGCCTGGAGAACATGCCATTTCCTCTTTAAAGTTTTAGTTGTTTTTTCTGCTGCCACTTTCCTCCAGACAGTTTTCTCAATTCCATGTCGATCGTGGGTGAGAGAAGTCAGATGTTCAGTTTTGTTATCAAACCAACGCCCCACAGCAACTGCCCTTCATTTGAATGCTGTTCTGTTCTGTTTTTTTTTTTTTTGAAGATCAGGCTGTTGGTTTGCTGCAGAGGAGCACCTGGCATGATTCAGGTTACCAAAAGGTCCACATACATTTTCAATAACAAGCTGGACGAGAGGTTGCTAAAACACAGAGGCTGAAGAGATGTTAACGTGTTAGCAAGTCGTGAAGAATTTAGAATTTGTACAGTGTGGCAAACTTTAAAAGTCATACGATTAAAAGTAATCGTATATATCAACCAAATTTAAATAATCATTACCGACTTCAGCAGTATCAGTCCGTTCATGTAAAATCCTGCGATGATATTGTAACTGTTAGCAGATCTTGTGTCAGATCAGGAAATGCAGGTAAAATCCAGCACATTCAGCACATGGTTATTAAGACCAAACCGTCATTTATTTTGCTCCGTCAAATTACAAAAAAGAAAAACTAGTCATTTATTTTGCTCAGTCTCCGTCAAATTACAAAAAAGAAAAACTCCTACACCCGGACCCCCAATACTTCAAAATCAATACTATCATATCTTGTACTCATGAGCCCCCAAGGGATCAGGACCACATGTGCTGCATGTGAGGAGTACAGTCAGAGGCTGCTTTGACTTGAAAAATCAATACAGATAACAGATCATGACACATAGACATCATCGCTGGGGATTTGTTTTGAACTGAAGCGTCCTTTGAATGATGCACAGGGGAGAATGAACATCCACTATGCTGCGTTTGAGGAGAAATCACACTGAAATGGTTACTTCTGTGGAAATCGCTCGCCTGAAATGAAGTGGTGTCTGCTGGATTTCACAGCGTGTCCGGAGAGATTTGAGGTCGAGGCTGAACCTGTTCGTATTTATGATGAATGCTGACCTTTTAGCGTTTTCAAAACCCCGACCTGCTTTTGACAACCGGACACTTGACCCGAGCCACAATTGAGTAATTCTGGAGATATTTAGGGATCTATCTTCAGGTGTCGGTGTTTGTCTGACTTACGTTAAGAACTAGTCCTTCAACATGGTGTAGAAAACATTCTTCCACACAAAACATTAAACAGAATACAGAATCACAGGAGCGTGTTTAGTTTTGCTCTGTGTTTGATACGTTTGTGTCACTGACATAAATCTAAAAGCGACAGCTTTGTTGTTCTGCGTTGTATAAACCATAGCATTTCTCCGTGACCTTTGGTCTACAGGAAGTCAATGCTTTTTACAAAGTGTATTTGCAGTTGAGAAGGTTGTCTTATGATTAGATAAAACTGGAGTCATATTAAGATAAGTTGCGTGTTATCAGGGAGCCTTAGTTCTAAGTGATCAAAGCAGAATCACAGGTGACTATCTCATTAGCAGAGTTAACTGGGGGAACGTCTTTTTGACACAACTCTTCAATCATATTAGCTTTTACTGCTGCGGGACGCTTAATGTGACGTCTTCTTTAACTGAACCTGCCATCATTTTAGTGGAGTTGTGCTTCGTTCAGATGATGAATATTTACAAGCTTTTTATTTGAATTTTGTCAGGAGGAACCAGAATAGCCTCCACTTTCCTATGTACTGCTGGATTCACTCTGCAATCAGGAGACTTTTCAGCATCCAGATGTTTATATTTAAAGGAACAAATGCACTCCGTGTTTATTTATATACTGACATTTCCCCCTCAGTGTGTGGGTGTCGTTTTTTTCCCCCTGTTGACTTCAGGAAACATGCTGTATTTGCTGTTTGTTGACCAGATTTACTGTGTTTGTTTTTCTTTCCCGGTGTTGTTTCTTCTTCCTCTGAATTATTGATGAGACCGTGTGATCTAGCATGCTAATCCTGTTAACCAACGGAGACCATAATAACAAACGCAGATGGTTGGCAGTATAAGAATCTGCAGTCAGGGATTTGCAGAATCTGATGACTCTGGAAATGGAAATGCAGTAAAGTGATGGTGTCGATGAGGAGGAGGAAGAGGATGATGATGGTGTTTTTGAAAGAGGAAAATTTGTTTGTCCTCACACTCCCACGACCCGTCTGTACATCCTGACCAGAGCTGTGTGTTTTTTTTTTTATTTAACGAGAAAAGAGATTTTTTTTTCCATAGTTCACTGTGTTTGAAGAGATTTTTTTTTTCCATAGTTCACTGTGTTTGTGCAGCTGTAACAGAAGGTCATTTTCTGTCCGCAGCGCTGGCCCAAAAGGAGACAACATCTATGAGTGGAGGTCAACCATCCTGGGACCACCGGGCTCCGTGTACGAAGGAGGTGTCTTCTTTCTGGACATCGCCTTTACGCCTGATTATCCCTTTAAACCCCCCAAGGTACAGTACGTGAATTATAATCAGCTGCGGTCTCTTGTCAGCTTCACCCGTGCAACTGAAACAGAACAAAAAAAACTCACTAAAACGTTGCAGAATATAAACCTTGCACGTTCATGCTCTGACGTGTGCTGCTACAGTACGTGCTGTGTTTATGTCAAAAAAGGAACTTTCACTGAATTAAATATCTAATAATCTTTGTTTTTAATTATGCCCTTGGCACACACCGGCGAGGGTCGCCTTCGCGGACTTTAAGACATCTTTACTGTGAGTGTGAGCTGTATCTGCGCTGGAGCGGAGTCTAAAACCACTGTTTACTCATTTAGGCTGTAGGGTTTGCTTTGGTGAATATTAATAGTGGCTGCACTGTGTCAGTGCCATCGGCTCGAAATAAATAGAAAGTCCGAGTTCCCAAAGTACCTGTGTCCCTAGGCACTGCAGAAAAAAATGTTTTCTGCCTATTACTTTGTCTTTTCGCGCCATGGGACGTTGTTCTTCGCCCGTGCCAAAGGCATCAGGTGCTGCTGTTTGGATTTACCGCTTACTAAAGGAACGCAATCGAGTATCAAAGATCAATATCAAAGTCGTAGCAAAACAACTCGGTTAAACGAAAATGACAAGTGTCTTGCACACAGCCAGACTCTCAGGTGAGGAGTGAACAGGAAACCTGTGGTATCATGATGATGGTGAGTAAATGGAAACTTGGTTTACGGTCGAAACCGCGGCAGGAAATAACCCTAAAGAAAGTTAAGATGTCGAGATAACATTTAAGAAATGTGTGAATCCATTGTGCAATCCTCTCAACAATAGAGGAGAACAAAGCACGGCTGCAGTTGAACTTTAAGTTCCTCTTAAACGTCGGTACTAAACCCAAATCTATTTTTAAATGTGAATGTTAGTAAGGTCACAGATGCTTTCACTTCCAGTTCCTGCTCTTTCTAACTGAAATGAAAAAAAAACTGAAGCGGGTTCTTGATTCTTGCACAACTGTTGTTTGTAGTAAAACATCACTTGTGGAAAAAAGTGTTTTTGTTTTTCTAGACAAACCTGAAAAGGTAACCCTGCTGGTTCCTAGTGATTTTCTAGGACTAACGTGATCGTCTTAGTCATGCTTTTATCGTGATAGGGCGTTTCCTGCGTAGGCTGCAATGCTTTCGTTTAAACACAAGAGGGCCTGTGTACACTAAAAATACGTTTATGTGTTCAGTTTAGTGTTTCTGCATCAGTGAACTGCAAAGCATAGGAGTTCCACAGATTCCACACAAAGGAGTTTTTTTTTTATTAAACTACCTCCTTAAATAAGATGGATGGATGGATGGATAGATAGATTAAATTACCTCCTTAAATAAGATAGATGGATGGATAGATAGATGGATGGATGGATGGATAGATAGATGGATAGACTGACTTTATTAATCCCTCAGGAGTGCTCCTTCAGGAAATTATCTCAATTAAATAAGGTTTATGGAAAAGATAGGAGCATTTGTTGCTTTACTTAACATCTGGAGATCTGTGGCAGAACAACCCGAAGAGTGTGAAAAGGTCTTTTCCATGTCCTCAGGTCACCTTTCGGACGAGGATCTATCACTGCAACATCAACAGTCAGGGTGTGATCTGTCTGGACATCCTGAAGGACAACTGGAGCCCTGCCCTCACCATCTCCAAGGTCCTGCTGTCCATCTGCTCCCTGCTCACAGACTGTAACCCAGGTGAGACAGCGATGCACCAACACTCCCGCCCTGTCACATGACTTTAAAAGTTGTCCATTTAGTAAGAAAAAAAAAAAGTGTCCAGCCTCTGCTTCCTCCATCGGGAAGTTCACCTCATAGTTAAAAAGAATTTTTTGTTCAAGTTACTTTCAGTTCCAAGACCCGCCACAGGAGGCAGCAGAGACCAGCAGCAGCTGTAATTTAAATCCTAAAGGTTTATCTAATGTTAATTAAAGCTGTCAACATTTTTTCTAAAAATATCATTTCTGTGGTGAGCTCTTGGTTGTTGTCACGTGTGTCTTGTCTGGCAGCCGTTCTTCTCAGGAACATGAGCAGGAACACCAGTGTCATCTGAACGTTCCTGGTTCATAGTTTAGTTTATAAATGAACCTGTCAAATAACATGAAGGCTTCGTCTTCAGGCGTGAGCCTCTTAGCGGCAACTAAGTTCAAAGCAAAACGAGTTGTAATTAAGTAAATGAATTTGCTGGAAGTTGTTTGTTTGATGGATTCGGTCTTTTTCCTTTCAGCCGACCCCCTGGTGGGAAGCATTGCCACCCAGTACACCACTAACAGAGCAGAACATGACCGAACAGCCAAACAGTGGACAAAGCGATACGCCACATAAACTGCAAAAGGTCAGGAGCAGCAGTAGTGGCAGTGCAGGAGGAGGAGGAGAAGGAGGATGAGGAGGAGGAGAGGGAGGTGGAGAAGTGAAGAGGAGTGGTCTGTGTTAGGTGGGGCGGGGGGGTCAGGGTTGGGGCTTTATTTCTATCTCAGATTTTTAGTACTTTATTGTCTGGTATATTTGTTTTGCTTCCTGATTAAGTTATCTCCACAAATACAGTAATAAAAGAAGAGAATGGAACGGAAAGTCTTGGTCTGGATATTTTTTCCTCGTGTTGTTGTTTTAAAAGCAGTTTCCATGTTCAGGAACCACAGAATGCTTGTGTTTAAAAGAGGAACCACATTTACAAATAAATAATTGCTCCAGTAAATTTTTTTTTTTTTTTTAATGTTAAGAAGTGTTTCCTTCAGCTGGACATTCTGAACTATTTTCTGCTAACACTGACCTGCTCCATACGTGCTGTGTCTATTGTTGAGTTCAAATGGAAACCCTAATCACAATAAAAGCATCTGATACAGGAAATCCTGTTCCTGGAGTTTATTTCGCCCGTGAAACGAGGACATTTCAGAGCCTCCCACCTTCCTGCGTGTGGACCAGTTCAGAATCCAAACTATGTCATGTCAACATAACCTCACTCCTGATTTGAGGGCCGAGATTATCAGTCATAATAAAAATGACTAATAACAGACTATTTATATCTGGGGCTGAAACACTCGACAGCTTTGGGATCTGTTTGTGACACTGAACAGGAAATAGCATTGAAGTGCAACAACTGGTAACTAAGACAACAGTATGTGACAATAGACTCCTGAGAGACTTACACACACACACACACTCACTTTAGTCGGATCCACATGAATGAATGAGAAGTTTTATGTTCGCCGCTGTATTGTGTGGATGACAGAGTCCGCTGTCTTCACTTGTCCACGTAGGATGTTGGTTTATGATTAATCTGGATCTGTTAATCCTGCGGAGAGACACCAGGGTGTTGATGTTGGCACGTAATTCAAACAAACACAAAATGACCTGTGCCCCTTTTTTCCCCCCATTCAACTCACTGAACTCATTTGTTGTTTAGGCCTTAAATAACCTCTTGTGAAACTGACAGGATACGACCCGATCAAATCACTGTCATGGAAACAGATAAAAACAAAATCCAGATCAAAATCTGAGCTACAGGATTCCAGGAGCGTTATCGTAATTTAGCAAGAAGAAGCAACTAAAGAGTGTCACAAAGGTCAATCCAGAGGTGATGAGGTCAGGACCACACATGGGGTTGCCCAATATGTTTAGTGATTTTTTTTTTAATTAAACTAATTATTATTAGTTTTAAAATCATGTTTAAAAACACCACACACAATGTTAAACAACTGTATTCTTACACGTGCTCATATATTTGCAACACAGTAAAACTAACGTGATCAAAAACCAATTCTAAAGGGATAAAACTGTCTGGGGTCGCCAGGAATTTGAGATGTCAAAATGGGGTCACAGGTCAAAAAAGGTTCAGAACCACCTATTGGATCCGTTGAATTGAATGGTATTGATACTAAGGACATTCCTCTTCCTCATACAGCCCTTATACCAGGGGTCACCAACATGAGGCCCGGGGGCACCTGGTAGCCCCCGTGGATTACCTAAAGTGTCGCTGGGGTATGTTCTTAAAATCAAACTAGTCAACAAGAGGGTCAACAGTTGTTACTGTGGTTGTTGAATCAGTTCCACTTGCAGTGATGTTTAAATGGGTGCGATGACGATGGTAAGAAGAGTGTCTACTATTGGATGTCCCAGAACTGATTATTATTACCTTGTTTGTGAATGTCTTCGTATTAGTAAGTACCTTTGAAGTAGCTCTTTCAAAAAGGTTAGTGACCCCGGGTCCAAACTCCTGGGACGTTACAGTAATGTTTAATCCACCAATCTAAACTGTGACAATGGTAATATGGATTCACCTTTTTTCCCTGACCATTCTCTACACGTGTGTTCAGCTCTCAAAATGCTTCTCATGCCTGTCATGAATTTTACAATTCTCGCGTTCTACCAAGAGTAAAACCAAGGCTGGAACCTTGGCCACAGCCACCGCTTAATATGGAAAATAAATCAGCGTTTTTTTTCCTAAATGGACATTTTACAGTCACACTTCAATAATCGTCCTCCAAAGTTAATATGTGACTGATCCTCAAAGTTGTTCAGCTGCTGAGGCACTCATCTAATAACAAACCTTTGAGCTTCGCAAAATGCATTCCTCTGACAGACAGGTACGAGTGCAACGCCATCGAATTTGTTCACACCACAATTGGTATGATCTGAATTCAGTGGCCTAGAACATCGGAAACATAATTATCGTATTAATGATAATGACAGGGAAACAGAGCCGGTGCCAAACACAAGATGTTCTGTACTTGTTGTTCTAGGGATCTTGGCGTTGTTCTCACCTGAGCTATTGTTAACTTTTGGAAAAAAAAACACACCCTAATTATTTTGATCCAGGTCAGAAAGTTTTTTAGGACTGAAGAACATCAAGGTGGTTAAATAACCTGTTTCAGAGACGATTTGGTTTATTAGTGTACATGATGTAAGCTCAGGTGCAGTGGTTATGCCCCACCTTGAAGGATACACGACTGTAGACCATATGACTGTGGTGAAGTTGTGGGCATTTGAACTGGAAAAGTAAACAGTCTAATCCTTGTACTGGTTCTTAATGGGTTTGTTTAAGAGGCGAGTCCTATTGGAAAAACTCTGCTCCCTTGTTAATGACCTGATTGTTTTGTACTTTCAGCTGTCTGACAGTATGGAGTGTCAGCAGGTGAAGGAGACTCTGAGACAAATTCAAAGTTATTAGGGTGATGCGATCTCTCCACTTTTAATTAAAACTTTCATGTTAGAATCTGTTCCTGGATTTTCAAGCCGAGTGTTAAAATCATCAGTGATGTCAAAGTTTGAGACCAAACGTCCAACAAATAAAACATTTTCTGTTGTGAGACTATGTGAAAATGAAGTGTCAGTATCATTCCTACTCAGGGTCACAGGTAGGGGGATCCAGCCTCAGTAGTCTTTGGGCGAGGGTGGGGTCTATGCTAGACCTAACCTAACATAATTGATCAAGTTATTTTCAAAAAAATTTTGGGTCAACACAAAACTTTTTTTTTTAATTTAAACCAGGGGTGTCAAACATACAGCATTTGGGTCAACACAAAACATTTTTTTTAATTTAAACCAGGGGTGTCCAGGGGTGTCAAACATATAGCCTGTTGGCCCACTTATTGATTAAAAAATAAATAAAAATACACAAACACCTCATGTTCAGTACATTTTTTTGGAAAATTATATTTCATTAAATCTGAATAAATAATAATAATAATACATATCTAATATACTTGTACTTCTTTGCATGAAAACAAAGGGGAAAACATGGACTCGTAGTTATTTATAGTTAATTATGTTATGATTGTACTGGTCCGGCCCACTTGACATCTTATTGGGTTGAATCTGGCCCGCGAACCAAAATGAGTTTGACACCCCAGAAAGCCTGTCAAGTTGTAAGGCAACAGGACTAACCACTCACCCACCTTGTGCTACCAGATCACAAACTATTCAGTACATGACTGTCCGTGTCATCACTTGACAGTAACATGCTTTTAATGATAAGAATTTTCTCAAAGCTCCAAAATAAACACATAGACATTGAATAATTAGAACAAGGACGGTTCAAGTCCGCACACTGTGCTAAACAGAACATGTCAACAAAGTCAATAACAAAGAATTTTTCAGCCGGTATGGGGGGGGGGTGGCGAGAATGGAGTCAGTCGATAATGTATGTCAATAATGCAACGAGCTGAGGATAAGAGTCGCATTCTTTGGGAACGACACTGCCAGCCGTGCTGACGTTTGACAAACACCAAGCTGTGTTTGGACACGCCCACATATACACGTGAGCTAAAAATACTGGGACGTACGGCAGGTGTTTCTGGTTGCTTAGGTCAGGATCTGTGTGCATTAAATAACTGTTTTATGGTTGGAAATGCATTCCTTATGGAACAGACACATGAGAGTCTGCCTATAGAGAATTAGAGCAGAGACCGAACATGTAGCGGCATAAAAAAATAAGCTTTTGTCAGACATCGACCTGGACGTCCAGAGAAGAGCGGCACTAAAGTCCAGGGAAAAAACCTTTGAAAAAGCTGTGAAAAAAGGTCAACATGTAAGGAAGGACAGGGATGATGGGACTGAATGGAGTGAAGCAGTCCTTATGTTAGCATGCAGAGCTAAGTGGTGGTCATTTGACCAGACACATTTGACCGGTGACATCTATTAACAAGTGTGTCCAAAAAGGAGAGAAGTCTTTTCAGCCTGTTAGAACTGGGTCGTTTCCAGGTCGACCCCGTTTATTCACAAACCAAAAAAAAAAACAATCGCAAGGACACACATCTGTGTGTGACAACATCAACGGTTAGGAAAAAAAACGCTGCTGTCTGATGCTGAGGCCAAACGCCTCTGCATCTTCACCGCAATGACTCAACATGACAAACCTAGGGTGTTGGTGTCCTCTTGCAGTGTGTCACAGATAATGACAATCAAGGCCACCTCAGATGGGTCATCGGTCAGAGTGTCCATCGAGTCCTCCCACCCGAGGGTGGCTCAGTTTTCTGAGGAATGTGTCCTCATTCACGGAAAGGCTGAAATCCATAACTGATGTCACAAGATCAAATAAACATAGAGCGACATAACAAAACATACAACGTGAAATAACACATCAGAGAAGTAGAAGAAGAAGTGAAGCCGCAGCTTTACTTCTTCTACTTCTCCTAGTTGTGTATCCTTCCTGCAGGGGTGATTGTTTCGGACAGCAGGGGTGCAGGGGTGATTGTTTCGGACATGAGGTCAGGGTGTGTGTGTGATGTGATATCTATAAAAGATTCCCTTATTTGTCCCATAATGGAGAAATTCACCGAGTCTCTGCAATCCACACAGCCTGCCACAGGAGGCGCCATTAAGAACGTGGTTCCTTTTGGGCTCAAAACCAAAACCTTCCATGTGTAAAGCAGACGTGTAAGGCAGGCATGATAACCACTACACCAGGGGTGTCAAACATGCAGTCCGCAGGCCAAAACCAGCCTGCATGGGGGTTCAATCCGGCCCACTTGATGAATTTGGAAAGTAAAAAAAAATGCTCAAAATCATCATGATGGTGATGTTTTTGTCAAATTAGTTTTCATTAAATATGATGCTGTTTGTGGCCTCTGAATCAGAATGAGATTGGCACAAAATTATCCTGCAGCAGACTTTTGCAATTTTTTTGTCTACCACTTCAGGAAAGTCAGTATTTTTTTTTTTAGTTACTGTGTTTTGTTTTGTTTTTTTTCCTTTTCCTGTTCAAGAGCTGGAAATTCGCTGAACTAGGAAATGTACTTTTGAATTTTACCAGCTGAGCGTGATGCCAGCAACTTGCCAGCCCCACCCCTTACGATACTGTACGCGTATTAAATATCATAACTACATGTAATTAGCATCGGTGCCAAGTACATATTGTCCTGACATCAGACAGTGTGTACTGCCAGGACATTTTGTAATAGGTCAGAGATGTTACGCTGATGGGTTTTGTGGTATGAAGTCGAGTTAGTCGGGCCAACTGGTGTGAAAAAGTTCCCAACAACAGAGACATTGTTTACTGAGTTTTGTTCAACCAGAAATTCTTTTATTTACACGTAACATTTGGGCGGCCAGCTAGCTAGCTGTGTACGACGCTGAAAAACCCAGAGAAGACTGAAGAGGTCGTGCGGTCTGTAAAAAACGTTTTATTTGCTTTGATATGCTTTAACAGTCTAATGATGACTAAAGACTTCAGTTTTTGGTCTGCCATGTAGATATGTAGAGCGCCACCTACCAGTAGATCACAAAGGAGGTGCTGGTAGATCATGAGAAATCACAATATAATTTGATCAAGTTTGGCGGGCCGGATTATAAAAGCTGAATGGGCCCCTGGGCCTTAGTTTGCCTTTGCCTGATCTAACCTTTCTGCAATCAAACCATCATTGTGGTTACTACAAGAAGGCTCATGTTTGAAACCACCAGTGGATTGTGTTTTAGGTTGCAGTACCTCTATCTGCCTATGGGATTGTCTGATTGAAACCTTTTATCCCACGTATTTTTCTCCATTGCAATATTGGACACGACATGTTACACCACATGAAATTGATAGACATTTAAATCCCCCGATTGGATTCCAAATTAAACATCAAATAAAATAAAAAAACATGATATAGAATCTTAGAAAAAACTGTGATTTTCATTTCTTTGTTCCAAAAACATATAGTTGGTGACCCCTACCATACAGTGTCTTGTTGTACCATTTAATGCAATTTTTTTTTTTAACCTGTGACTTATTTTATTTCTGTGGGGAAACGTGGAAGATGTTTGAGTTCCACAAGAAGACAGTTGAATTTTTTTCTGTATTATTGCAGCGTTCAGAGTCTTAATGGTGAATCTCAGTCAACATGCTATTCATGTTGTTTGTTATTAGAAGTCCAAAGTCCGTTCCGTGATGATGGGGTGGATATAAATGGATAGTAATGTGAGTCAGGCTGTGCTGCAGCAGCTTTCTGAGAAAAGTAAATGGAGCCAAGGGGAATAATACCTGAATGAGACTTCGGTCCATCACCAGCAGCAGCATGTGTGTGGGTGTACACGTATTCTGTTTGGCCGTGAGGACACGTTTTCCTTCCTAAACCATCTCAGTGATGACCACTTCCAGCAGATGTTTCTCTCACACCCCTCTGGTCGTATGTTCCAGGCTTTCACTTTTATATAATCATGTTTGGTTTGTAAATGACCAAAAAAAAAAAAAAAAAAATAGAGCAAATACTGTGTTGTTGATTAAGCAAAAAGGGGACGGTGAATGGACATGAACGGATTTACAGCTGCATTTTCAAGCCACGTGGTAGAGTGATTGACATGTGGTTGACATGTCAACATCAACACACGTTCACATTCGCATTATTTGAGGGGAGGGGGTGAAAAAAGAAGCTCATATTACACAGACTTATGTACAAACCAAAGTCTGTTGAAATCAGAGGTGCACTTCCTGTGAGTTATAGAAATTCACTTCACTTGCAGCACAGACACCTCCATGGTGGTAGATGTTCATGTTCAGCGTTAAGGAAACTGCACGGTGGTTGGTTTTTAAGTCCGAGTTTATAGCTTTGGGCCACTTGTTTGGGCCACACTGTGACTGTAAGTCTGACGCCGCTGGCCTGCTGTCTAAGAATGTCCTCACAACTATAGAGGACTAAGTGCGTGTGTTTACGTGCACGCTGCAGTGCTGTGTGTTGCTGCTGTTATTCTCGGGCTTCTCCCTCCCTTGTCACGTTGTGCAGTGCAACGTGACCGCCGTCTTTACCATTCCGCTGTTACGTCGACGGGACGTTTGGCTCCGCCCCCCCTCCCGGGCTCCTGAAAGTGTGTCACTGGGTTAAAGTGGCTCAACTGCGGGCCAGGCGGGGGGGGGGCGTGGCCTGTACTATGAAGAACATTCAGTTCTAGTGAGTCACACACACATACACACGCCTGCACACACACGTTCAGAAGGGGAGGGATTTTCCTCAGATTGAGTAGAAGAAGGCTCTCTCTCCGAGTGTGCGCTCAGAGTAAAACCCTCTGCATGAGTCACTGAGACTTAGAACTGCTCTTCATTTCCACTCAGTCCTCTGAGATGATCTGCAGCACCAACAACAACGTACATCTGACGATTTCTGCACAACTTTAATCATCATCTTCCCGAGTTCGAGACCAGACCAGTTGTGTCACCAGTTTGAGAGCGTCTTTTTTCGGCGATTTTTACAAATACAAAGATGCCTGAGGACGTCGGGACAGCCAAGCCCGGTAAGGAGGCATTCGATTTGACATTTTCACGAAACTGCCGTGTTAGTTAACACCACACCGCCTTGAATGCAAATGGCATCGTCGGTGCATAAAACTGACCTATTTTGAGTCAAGACACTGGCGTGTCAGGCTTTTGTGTGGGTTCGATGTGACATGTCATTCAAACTTGTGTTCTACTTTAGAGTAAGATGAAACCTTTTAAAATGTACGTTTGAATTTTGTTTATTGTTGCACTGTCTAACTGCTTTAACACTGAATGCAGAATATCAATTAACTGTGCAATTAAATTAAGTCAGATTATCTGAAGCAGCGTGTTGAATGAAATATATGAAAAAAAACGGTTTTTTACATTGTCAATCTCTTTATGTCGATATGCAACTGACTTACACTTGTATAGCTAGATATCAGATTTCAAGTGCCTTTACGAAAATAAGTCGAATTCAGAAAAAAAATGTTTTTTTAAATTATTATAAAAGCCATTTGGTTTCACACACAAATGTGTTTTATTTAAGCATTCGCGTTATAAGAGTCCAAATGGCTGCGGCAGTTTTTTTTAAATGGAAGTTAAAGGCATTTCACTGCTCGCAGTTTGACACAACAACACTGTTCCACTTCCCCGCTCCCTCTCACGTGGATAGCGTGGCCTAGCCATGTGCCTCTGTGTACACGCGTGGCAGGAACACTCATCTGATTGGTCGAGATGCCTCAGCCAATCAGCGGCCGCGTTGTGCTGGAACTTATCAGCCATTGGTTGGTTAGCTATTCGTGACGCAGGACGTTGCATAATCCGGTGCGAGCGAGCGGCTGCAGAGTCCACGTGAGAGGAGGGGGGGGAAAGAAACAGTAATGGCGGCGGCTGTGACCTAGATTTTTTTTTTTTACAGCTTTCACAGAAATCCATGACAGGTCCACGTGTGGGTGGGCCGAGAAAGAGAACAGTCATGGTTAGGGGTTAGGTAATCGTCTGCTCTGGCCGTCAGTTCACATTGGCCCAATGAGAGGAGGAAAATAACAACATTTTATTTCTTCTGTTAAACATTTGTTCATACATTGAAAGATTTGTTAGAAATTATAATAAAGTTTCTCTTTAAAGTTGGTCTATTGAAGCCAATGACAAAACACACAATACAGATTTTTTTTTTTAGGGAACTTGTAGATCAGCCTCCCCACCCCATAGATCACATACAAAAACTTGCTAAAGCTGTTCTTGGAAGCGAAGAGGCTAATGAAGGGAAAAAGTGCTTCACAGGATTTTACAGGAATTACTGTTTAAATAGATTAAAAGTCCATGGCTATTTAACTGTGTTAAAGTGGATTCATAATTGGCAGTTTTTTAGGTTAAAAAATAACTTTTGGCAACCAGTGTAAGTAAAAATCATTTGAAGATCCAATAGAAGCAGGGTGTTTTGGGATGTTGGCTGACATCACTTTTTTTGGCATGTTAACTGACAACGTGATCCTCCTCATTTGCCACTTTGTGTGCACTCGTTCGCCCATGTAGTTGTCGTTTTTTCAGGCGGGTTGCTTGGATTTCTTCTTTTACTACAACCGTCCTTGTTTTTGAATGTGTGACTCATCCATTTCCAAGTAATGTTTGTTTAATGAATCACGCCATTTTACCACCAGTCCACAGTGCAAAATATAGCGAATGAATTATAGGCTTGTCTAGGCCCACATCTGGTATCCAGACTGTTGGCTACATCTCAGCCAAACTTGAACCAAAGCTGACCCAGAAAAAAAAAACCAGCAGTGTCCCCAACATGGGATAGCTTAGTGTAGAGTTAATGGCTAATGTTCTAAAAGACACTTTGTGGTTCAGAGAGTCTATGAAATTCTATGCCACTGTACAGACATTTCTTTTTTTGGCAGTACATTTGCGCCAGTCACATCTGCAAAGGGTTAAAAGTTAAAAAAAAAGTCATCTTTACTTAAAAATTACGAGAAAGATTTAAAGGTCACTCTATGTGTTCCTTCACTGTTTTCTGACCATGTCATAGTCATTACATAATCTGGAGCTGGATGGGTTTTTTTTTTCTCAGTTAGATCTGTTATGTTGCTCCACTGCTTCAGTGACCCTGTCTGGTCCACAAGTCAGCAGCAGAGACCCCGGTGTCTTATGTAACACCGTGTTATCCAATCAGTGAGCACTGCTGGTGCTAAAACGGGTCAATCACAGCAGTCAACACAGCAACCAGGAAGAACACACTCCCACACACAGGGTGTGTCTCTTATACCTGTTCACAATGTTCTGCCAAGAGATCTGTTTGTTTATTTGGCATAGATTCTTTTCTTCTTTTTTTCTGTGCTTTGTACACAGTAATTCCCTTTATTGTCTTTGGCACGGGAATTTTTTTTGTCACTTCAGGTGTGCTGCGGTTGAGTCATGGTTGCAATCTTTCAATACTTTAGAGATCAATTAAACAAGAACGTGTCTATCAAGAAAGCCGCAATTTTATTTTCATACAGTAAGGCAACAAGAAGTCTATGGTTTACAGCACCTTTAATACTCAACTCAAATGATTGTTTGTTTTTTTTTAAAGGAATTTTTAACTTATTCTTCCTCTCCTCTCTCCTGCCCCCTAGGTGGAGTTATTGCCTACATTTCCTCCGGCTCTGCTTCCAGCCCTGACTCTTTCATGAGCACCAGTCCCAACAATGGGAGCTACCTTTCCACATCTGCTCCTGTGAGCCGCCCCTCGCTGCCCAGCCGGGCCGTGGGCATGGTTGTGGACATTGCTCCACCAGCCAAGATCGGCCATCAGCGCAGCCATGGTGTGGAGAAAGCCGGCCGCTCCTCAACGTCTGCAAAGAGCAGCATCACCAGTAAGTAACATTACCCAAAGTCTTACGCTGATGAACATTAAAAAAAAAAAAGAAAAGAAAAGAATACTGACGTGTCTGTAACTCACTGGTTTGCTTTCCTGCAGAAATCAACGGCATGGTGTTGCTGTGCAAGGTGTGTGGTGATGTGGCCTCGGGCTTCCATTATGGCGTTCACGCCTGTGAAGGCTGCAAGGTGAGATGTGTTCTTGGACTGAAGTGACAGCTAGTCTTAGGCTAGATTACAATTTTGGAATTTAGACTGAGAAAACTGAAAATCTATCTCATGGTTGCCCAGGGATTCTTCAGGAGAAGCATCCAGCAAAACATTCAGTACAAGAAGTGTCTTAAGATGGAGAACTGCACCATCATGAGGATCAACAGGAACCGTTGCCAGCAGTGTCGCTTCAAGAAATGCCTGGCTGTGGGCATGTCCAGAGATGGTGAGCATTGGAACTCCAGTTCAATATAACACAAATAGGCCTCGACTACTACACGTGATCTAACGTCTGTTTTGCTTCTGTCAGCTGTCAGATTTGGCCGCATTCCAAAAAGGGAAAAGCAGAGGATGCTGCTGGAAATGCAGAACGCCATGAACAATATGATGAGCAGCAACAGTCAACTTCACAGCATGCTGAATGGCCACCAGAGCCCACCACCTCTGCCCATGGACACCCTTAGCAATGACACCAGCCCTTCACCCTCCTCGTCTTCTGCCCCCGACTCTCCGTCCAGCTCCAGCCCCTCCTCGCCGCAGTGCCCCCAGGACTCGGAGTCAGTGATGTCCATGGACATCAACTCCAGCTCTGCCTCGTCGTGCTCCTCGGACAGCGGCGAAGACGAGGCCATCGTCCCTACAAGCCCACAGTGCCAGCGCGCTTCAGTGTTTGGCCAGCAGAGGTCGCAGAGGCAGGGCCAGGTGTCGCCTTCGGAGGTTGCTGTCGCCCTGGACGCCGGATGCGAAGGTCGCATCGAAGAGCAGCAGGACACCTGGAAGTTGTCAAACAAAAACCGAGGTTACCAGCAGAGTCCCTACTCTCACAGCCAGCACGTTACCAATGCTGTGTACAATGAGGAGAGGATGGTCTACCACCACCACCACCACCAGCAGCAGCAGCAGCAGCTCAACAGTGCCCCCAGCTGTGAGCCATCAGAAAGCACCCAAAGGTGGCACAGATACAATGCTCAAATCCCCTCAAATGGTTACAATGGACCAGTCTGTGCAAACAACAGAGCTCACTTGGTGAGTAATGCTCATGATTTTCTTTTTTTTTCTTTTCTTTTTTTTGTTTTTTATTTGTTTTTGCTCCTATAACAAAACGTTCAACATCTAATTGACCTCCTGTTCTTTGCGTTGTGTTTTCAGGTGTGTCCAATGAGCACAACACCTTACGTGGACCCCCGCAAGTCCAGCCAGGAGATCTGGGAAGAATTTTCCATGAGCTTCACTCCCGCTGTGCGGGAAGTGGTCGAGTTCGCTAAGAAGATTCCTGGTTTCCGTGACCTCCCTGAGCATGACCAAGTCAGCCTCCTAAAGGCCGGAACCTTCGAGGTGAGCCAATCAGAAAACACACACACACACAAAAATGCACCCTTGTAGCATTAAAGAAAATCAGAAAGAGATTTCTAAAACTAAATGTTATCCCCTCCTGATTCCCAGGTCCTCATGGTTCGATTTGCCTCACTGTTTAACATAATGGAGAGAACAGTGACATTTCTGAGCGGAAAGCGCTACAGCTTGGACACGTTGCGCTCCCTCGGTGCTGGCGAGCTGCTCAACTCCATGTGCGAGTTCAGTGAGAAGCTGGCCGCACTGCGCCTGGACGCTGATGAGATGAGCCTCTTCACAGCTGTGGTGCTGGTGTCTGCTGGTGAGGACTGAAAACGATTTTAATAATAAACATTCGTGCATTCTTGGGTCAAAGGTCAAAGCGTTCCTGCCATAGAGCTCCACCCTCATTGTTCCTCCTAATGTCTTTTCAGATCGCTCAGGAATCCAAGACCTGAACTCCGTGGAGGCGCTGCAGGACAAACTGATCCGGGCCCTGCGAAACATCGTCATGCGGAATCATGGCGATGAGGCAGCCACCACCTTCACCAAGCTACTCCTCAAGCTTCCTGAGCTGCGTTCGCTCAACAACATGCACTCAGAAGAACTGCTCTCTTTCAAAGTGCATGCTTGAACATCTTAACCAGGATCTAACTCTTGGCCCCATATACACCACCACCACCACCACAACCTCCACCACCTCGCTGTCTGAATTCCACCAACCCCAACGTGTGTTTGTTTCAAGAATGTATTCAGAATGTCTTTTTAAAAAAAACAAAACAACCACAAGGGGGTTTTCTGTATAGAAAAGAACTTTAAATAAGTACTGTATTTAAATTTATATGAAAAAAAAACATAAGCTTGTTGCACACAAACAGTGGGAGTCACTATTATGTTTTAGAGAGAGACTTTGCCTTTAAAGCCCAACTATAAGAATTACTGAGTCGATGGTTCATTTTCCAGGTCTAATGTTAAAGGATGTTTCAGTCACAGTGTTGAGCTGATGTTTCCATAACAATGGCATTTACACTTGAGTTACGTGGTGGAGCTGTTGTCTTGCTTCTTCACCTCATCTTTTGACGTGCAGTAAAATCATCAAAAGCATTGAAAAATGGCGGCACCTAAACTTTAGGCCTTTGCTTTAAATAAACAGTATATACAGTAAAATCCTAGGGCTGTAAAAAGATTTTTTTATATATATAAAATACAATGATTGCCAACATCATCCCAAAAGTTAGACACTGGACCTATCGAAAAGTATAAACATATTTTGTCGAGAATTCAGATTTAACCGCTCGAGTCATTTAATTTCAAAAGTGTAGTATGTGATGAATGGGACCTATGTCTATGTATGTGTATGTGTGTGTGTGTGTGCGTAGTCCAGCATTCTGACTGAGATGCAACGGCAGAGAAAAGGCAATCTATCAAACAAATACGCGTTCGAATGTGTAACAATGCACAGTTATACTTCCCACACAAATGAAAAATGTTGCCACATTTTTCCAACCCTGACCGAGCAAACCTGACTGGTCTAACATAAGATGAGAAGACCACAGATGGGCATGGTTTGTCTTGTACTGTGGCCTACGATGTAAAGCGCTACTGGTGAAAACTTTTTGCGGTCCACCAGACCAGTTTTGCTGCGTGGGTTCATGCTAAATGTTTTGCGGCTTTCTCTGATCTCCTCCCCATTTGCCTCTGAAAGCATCAGCTCACTATTTCCTGTGTGTATAATGTTGTATATATTTTTTTAACGTGTTTATGCCTGTTCACATGCTTTGTAGCTTCTGTGGAGTTGATCATTTTAACAACACTACTTTCGCACTGCTCTGGAGCAGTCAACCCAAGATAATACACATTACAAAGAAGATCTATAGAAAATACCCTGATGCAGCATCATTGTAAAGATTTGTGTATATTTAATCGAACCAGTTTCTTTTTGTTCCCTTTCAATATTTGCTTTTTATGCTACATTTTTGTTTCATGTTTAAGTTGACTTTGTGTGCTTTCTGCATAGCACTGAACTTGATTTGGTGTTTTTTCTTTTGTTTTGTTTTTTGAATATCTGCTTCTCTACTGGCAAAACCGCCAACTGTAAATATCTATATAAAATATATAAATATATAAATATATATAAATATCTGATGAACATAGTATATAAAATGTTATAGTATGAATAAATTCAAGTGAAGATAATTTTTTTGGAGTCTTGTTTGTTTTAGTGCAGTAAACCAGTCTTTCCACTGGGAAGCGCTGTTTGCCTACCTAAAACCATTGAGTAGTGTAGGCCAACCAAATTCACTCAAAATGGCAGGTAAAAATGCACAGAAAAAGTGCAAAAAAAAGAAAAGAAAGAAGCAATTCAAGCATTCAAATCTTCAGCGGAACTTCATTTCACTCCATGCTAACGTCGACCAGGAACTTCCATTTCAAGGGGACTTCTGTGGCTCTTAGCAGTAACCCACTAAAACCTGTCACTTTTAGCCTCTTGATCGTTGGCCACCCCTGTTGTAGGCAAACTGGAAATATACTGTGAAGTATGAGAACAGAATCTACAAATTTCCACGAGCCTGCCGTGGCTGCATGACATTAAAAGTAGGGGAAAAAAAATTGAATTTAAAGGTAGTTGCATGGACTGTTTGATGGCTGTGTTTACATGTATCATAAGTGTGTGTGTGTGTGTGTGTGTGTGTGTGTGTATATAGTTTGTTTTTTGTAAGTTATATATCTTTTTTTTAATTTAACGTATGGAGCTTCTATCCCAAGTCCAGAACTTTTTGGAGCTGATCCTGAATCCACAGATAAACAAATATCAAATAAATAAAAAAATCAGATTTGCATATGCAAAGCTTTACTTTGGTTAAAAAGGTGGCACTGGTTTTACTCTCTACTCTTTATTTGTAAAGTTTTGAACTCCAGAAACTTTTTTATTATCCTAAATGAATTATTATTTACACAAATCCTATAATTGTCAGTCAATAGTGCTTTACACTGACATAATATCAATAATTATTACTACAATCAATTGTAATATAAACACTTTGTAAATATTATATATAATATTTGCTAATATGAATGTTGATGACATTCAGCCAGCACTGACACACAGGGTACCTGAAAGTAGGCAAATTAGCTATTTGAATAAAAGTCTATATGTATGTGAATACAAAAATACAAATTTGTTAAGCATGCACTTCCACTAACTGGCAGACTGGACAGCCAGACAACCAGAACTCGACCCAGTTCTGTGCGGCTGAGTTGTCTGACCACAAGTGGACTGATGAAGACTGTAGTACAAGGATGGTCTTCATTTGTCATAAAAGTAATATTTTTTCTAAAGTGGGGAAATAAAATTCCATTATCTGTTGACATGTTATATTTGACAGATATGAGAAAATGCTTGTTCATTTTAATTAATTTATGGCAAATTACTACTGCTTTAATCTACTTAGGCAGACAATTATTCCAGTGTTTTTACTAAAAACATTTCGAAGGTTTGCTCACTGGCTTTGAATACACATAGAGACAAACCATTGGTCACAGAAGGGTGTCACTCATCATGCAGGTGTACATGCCCTGGCAGTGGAAAGGCCCTGCTTTTCACTATTGATTAGACTTTTTTGTTTGTTTTTTTAAAGCAAATTTTTTGTTCAAATGTTGTTTAAAACCAAATAATTCTGCACCTTAAGGGTTATTTGTTGTCCCACACCTGGAGTGTTTTTAAGTCAACCAGAAACCTTGTCAAATTAATATTAATTAATGACAGCTGCAACATAACTTACATCAAATGATCTCAATACTATTATAAAATTACAATATTATTGAAAATACAAGACACAACACTATAAGTGGTAAAGATGATCTCCGAGGTAGGGGGTTGCTGGGTAGTACCGGGTTATCCGGAAGTTCTAAATGTGGCGCCTTAATGTGTCATCTTGAGGTCACAGTAAAACTTGCAGAGAACTTGGATTTATGCCGTCGTCATTTTGGAACCCAAACATACACACAACGTCAACACAACGTAGTATCAGGAGTGGGAACGACTTGGTGCATTAGTTACGTCGTATTCCAGCAGCAAAGATCGACTCAGTTTTATTAGCTGCTACGGCTAACAGCGGCGGGCGAGACCAAAGAGATGGCAGACACACCAGTCAGCGCTACAGCTACTTTCACCATGAAAATCTCCACTCTGCTAAGTTCTGCTAATTCTACATAGCTCATTATGAATAAATGATGAGTCAATGAGCTTGGTTTCCTACTACAGAACAAGGTAAACTGAGGCAAGTCATAAAATGGTAAGGTGTTGGATTTTCTCCTGTTTAAGGAACTCAAGCCATTAATTCTCTTTGTCACACCATGAACACTGTTTCCAAAACCAGACATGGATCCCTCTGGTTTTCAGACTCTGTCCATCCATGAAATGCTGTATCCTCCAAGATGTGACCAGTAACTGTGCCCAAAAGGCTGCATGCTAACAGGAGGATGACAAAGGATAATTGTACATTTATGTGTAGTGAATTGGGGGCTAAGTAATTGGCAGTCCACCCTAGTGACTGCATCCACTTGTTAATTTAATTCAATGGTGTTTAATTTGAATCAACTGTTCTTCAGTACTGAAGACGCCTCTTGGATGAGAGGTGAAATGTTTTCAAGAAACCTACTTTGTCCAGTTGCCCTCGATTTAACTATCTTCGAACTGTTCAAATAAGTGTTCTAAGACCGATGTAGGTGGGTGGTACTGGGACAGGTGGTGCCAGGCCTCACCTAGCTGTATGGATTGATCGAATGTGGTGAGATCAGTCAATTAATGACATGAATTTAATGCATTTATGCCTATACAAATATGTTGGGTCAATTTTGAAAAAAACCTATGTACTAATGGATTAACAGTTAATAATTAATTGAATGCATTTGTTAAAAGACAATATTTTTAAAAATATATATATTCTCTGTATAAAAGGTTTTTTTAGAGCTATGTCAAAAAAAATGAAATAAAGCACATCACTGCTGTGGGTGGTGGTCATGGCCCCAAGGAGCTATGATGGGTGCCCCTTTAAATTAATTTCTGAAAGGTGGCAAAGCTACACATTAATTGTCACGGCTAGCATCATTGTCATTTAAAGGTCTAGGTGTGAGACAGCGAATTGACCATTATATATTAGTTTGAAATGTTCTTTTTTTGAGTTGTCTTTAAGTGAGACGTTGTCCTTCACGCATTCCTTCCATCAGGACAATAACGTCCTGTTCACCTTTTACTAGAGCCAGTCTAATAAAGATCTATCCATCCATCTTTGCATATATAAATAGTCTCAGCACTACACTTTGTTATTCAGTTTGTTCAGTATCCTAAATCTCATTGGGTATGTTTCTGTTTATGTGGTTACTGTTCAGTATCCTAAATCTTATTGGGTATGTTTCTGTTTATGTGGTTAAAACCACTCAAATACCTTTGTTGGTCAATGTAATCACTGAAAAAAAAAATCATTGAATAGGTTTTTTTTTCCTTGTCATGTTAATTGAGGTTATCTCAAATGTCAACTACAAATTACATTAAAAAAACTTTCAGTAATGAGTTCAGTAATGTCTCCATGGCATAAATGAGGGAATAATAAAAAAAATCAGCATCAACTCAGAATTTTCACGATTGTTTTTCCCCTTGTATTTACAATTACATGTGACTAATTTCTTGTTGTTGTTTTTTTTTTGTTTTGTTTTTTTGTTTTTAGAAGTTTTACAAGGAAGTTGAGTGGAAGCGACCTCCAAACATCTCAGTGCCATCAAAGGTAACATTTATAAATGACCTTATTCAGCACACATGCATTTTTAATGTGTTTGTTGCAAGAAATACAAAAGAACAGTCAGATTATTCAGAATGGAGAAAAACAATGACATGACGTTGGTGACTTTCAGAGAAGCTTCAATATTTTAACATTTCCTGAATTAGTAAGCCTTTGCATATGGAAATTTTCCCAGCCTGCTGTTTATTTGTGATGCACTGTTTTAGTATTTAGTTACTGTCCAAACATCAGATCTGAACACAGCTCGGTATGACACTTGTAAGTATTACATTATTATTTTATTGTTGTTGTTATTATAATTTTTTGTAAGATAACACATTTTGACCTTTTTGATTTAAATTCATTTCAGTTTTCAGATAGTTAACCTACTGTAGACAATCGTGTTTCTTCTGAGCAAAGACCTAAAAAAAAGCTTGTTGATCTTTTTTTAATCTTGTTTGCAATCCAGTCGGAGATGGGAAGATTTGTGGCTCTTCTTGTGTTGTGGGGTAAGTTAAAAGTTATCAAGGAATACTGCATTCAGCATTTTTTTTAAAAAGACACTTTAATAAACGACAGCTACGGCTAAGCGTGTCAAATTTGGACAGTATGAAAGACTGTCCACTTTTCCACCTTTATGTTTTTGTACATGGTTGAGGTTTTCCATGATTTCTGTCTTTGACTCTCCAGACTTCTCCAGACTTTAAAGTATGTTGGTTGTGTAAAACATCAACCATATACACAGTATACATATACAGTTGAATATTTTTTTCCCATTAAACTTCAGGATGTAGCCTCAGCTGCTGTTCATACGTCCAGCTGCGTAAGTACTATTACATAAACCAGAACATGAGCTGGGGAGATGCCCGGGAATACTGCAGAACGCATTACACCGATCTGGCAACCATTGAAAGCGACAACGACATAAACGGGCTACAGTCGGGTTTTTCCTATGAGAAGGCATGGATCGGACTGTGGGATGACCCAAGTTCTTGGAAGTGGAGCCTTGGCAGTCACCCCAACTCTTGGAGATGGTCATCAATAGGCGAACCAGGCAGAACCAGTTATTCGGGCTTTATTTATGATGACCCTAATGCTCAAGGAGCAAGAGAATACTGTGCAGTGATGATGGAAGAAGGTGGATGGTATGATATCAGCTGTGAACGAAATCATTCATTTGTGTGTTACACTGGTAAGAATCCTATTTAAACTGATGACTGAAGAAAATTGAAATTGAAAAGAATTACAGAACTTTATGTTATCACTTCATGGTAAACCCATTCATCCAATATATGATAAAAAAAACAATGTTTTTATACATACAATGGTATTCAGATTTTTTTTTTCCTTTCCAGCCAGCAACGGATCAGGAAAAGTGTTTCATCATGTTAATACTATTAAGTCATGGTATTCTGCCCAGGAGTACTGCAGATCACACTACACAGACCTTGCTACAATTGAGAACGCCATGGAAAACGATATGATCTTTAACGATACTCAAAGGCTATATTTCTGGATTGGTCTGTCCCGAGTTCCGTGGACATGGTCCAATAGGTCTCCAGTTTCCTTCACTAACTGGCAGACTGGACAGCCAGACAACCAGAACTCGACCCAGTTCTGTGCGGCTGAGTTGTCTGACCACAAGTGGACTGATGAAGACTGTAGTACAAGGATGGTCTTCATTTGTCATAAAAGTAATATTTTTTCTAAAGTGGGGAAATAAAATTCCATTATCTGTTGACATGTTATATTTGACTGATATGAGAAAATGCTTGTTCATTTTTTCTCTTGTATAAGCCATGATGTCAAAGACCGTAGTGAAGATGCAGATTAAGGCGTCCGCAGATTTAACAGATCCAACTGTAAATGCCAAGGTTCTCCAGCAGGTGAACTCTACATTCCACAAGAGATTATTGCTTCTGTTTTATCTCCTCTCCTCTCTATCATCTTCATCTACACTGTGGTGTACAATGCAAACCATTTAGCATGATTTCTCTGTTTCTTACAGCTCCGTACTAAGCTGACCAATCAGGGATTGACCAATGTTGTGCTCCGCTGGAGGAGTCCACCAACAAAGCAGAAGAAGCCGTAGACTTGAATCCTGATGTGGTATCAATATTGTGCAGACAAGCTTCCATATGAGTTAGTTATTTAGCATACGAAAGCACAATAAATTATATTTAATGTAATTATTACAATAAAATATTGTAATATCTAACACTATTATAACATAGATACTGAGGGAAGTTGTTTTTTTGTTTGTTTTTTGTTTTTACTAAAAACATTTCGAAGGTTTGCTCACTGGCTTTGAATACACATAGAGACAAACCATTGGTCACAGAAGGGTGTCACTCATCATGCAGGTGTACATGCCCTGGCAGTGGAAAGGCCCTGGTTTTCACAATTGATTAGACTTTTTTTTGTTCAAATGTTGTTTAAAACCAAATAATTAAAAGAAATTAAAGGGGTACTTGTCCCACACCTGTAGTGAACGAGTGGTCCGGCCGTGTCACAGTGACATCGATGGACAAGGAAAAAGACATTAAGTCAAGTTGTTTAAGTTGATTTATTTGTACAAACTCACAAAATACATTTGATTCAATGGACTTTACAGTTCTAAAATTAGAATTAAACAGGAGTGAACAGAAGGTCGTTTTTCACCAGTTTCTTTGTTATTCCAGTTATCGTCGAGCCCGTTCTGTGTTTTATCTACATTTGACATCTTTGATGTGTTGGAAGAATTTACTATCTTGGCTAACCATAGGTTTTTTTGGTTGACTGCTGTGGATATGACATTTACTTTTTAATAATATTTGGACTGATTTATTTACTTACCTCAGAGGACATATGTATTTACATAAGGCGGAGGACATTCAAATGGCTCTGCATTTGACTGTCCTCGGACAAATGAAGGACAAATAGATTTTCCCATTTATCCATTGATTGTTAAGCAGCTTAAGTCTGTCTATGTGTGTGTGTGTGTAAATATATATGTATCCACACACAGACAGACATATATATGCCTATGTATATATATACATATATATAAATATATATGTGCATATATCTATCTATCTATATACATAATAGAATACATAATAGATATGTGTGTGCTAATAAAGGCAATGTAAACAAGTTAACTGTATTCCTTATGAAGATTTTAACAACATTTAGAGAAACATTTTGTCTTCTGACAGATTCCCATTGGATGGTCTGGCTGTCAGTCACATGTTGTGACAGAAACACCTACGAAAGCAGTAACACCTTATATCCGAGTTTCATTTTGCATATGAAAATAGTTATAGCATTTGTTGTTTGTTTATTGCGAGTGTCTGATTCACTGTTCGTCGTCTGGACTTTAGGACAAATCACTGCACAATTTTGAAGTTCCAACAAAAGCTTGTGAGTATCACATTTTGTTCTTTTTGTAGTTGTTAGGATGTCAACTCCTGAGATGGATTGATTTCTTCCATTTTGTTAAAATGTTAAGTCAAATAAAGGCATTTGTAAAATGCTGAAATACTAAGTTTATGTTTTTGGACTCTTATTATGTATCTGTGTGATTTCCATGCAACTATTTTAAGTCTTATTTTGTTTTTTCAGCCAACCAAGTAAAGTTAAAATGTTAAGTCAAATAGTTTTGGGAAGGCATTTTGTTTTTTCAGCCAACCAAGTAAACCTGATTTTTTTAAAATATGTAATCTCCAAATTGAAGAACCTATTGTTTTTCTTTTGATTTTCAGTACAATAAAAGATGGCTGGTTGTGTGAAAGTCATTCTGCTATTGTTGGGTGAGTTCATGAGTTGCTGCGCTTGCCTTAGAAAAAGGTCACTAATGTAGAAGAAAAAAAAAAGTTTTAATTAAGATCATTAGTTAAAGCAGATTCTGGAACAAGAAAATCATCGTTAACTTATTGACATAGAACCAGTTGTTGATGCAGAACACAAAGACAGAAAGTGAACGCATTCCACTCACTTCCTCCCAGGGACGGGAAGCTAGATAGGAATCATTATTTGGCTCCAAAAACCAAACGAACTACGAACCTCTATTACAAATGTGTAGTATTATCAGTTTCTGCCAAAACAAAAACTTTTAATTTGTTGTATCTTTTATACCCTTCATTCTCAAACCTTAGGCTGCTGCTGCTGCTTGGAAAGCCACCTGAAGAAGTACTACTACATCGATCTCCCATTGAGCTGGATAAACGCTCGGGAATACTGCAGGACCCATTACAGGGATCTGGCAACTTTTGAAAGCTCCGATGATATGAACGGGCTGCAGTTCCAATTTGAGGATTCATGGATTGGATTGTGGGATGACCCAAATTCTTGGAGGAACCAACTTGGTAGTGGTCCCAATTCCTGGAGATGGTCATCATTTGAGGAACCAGCCAAAACGAGTTACATGAACTGGAAATCCCTTGAACCTAGGAGTAGCTATGATAAGAAGCTGTCTGTTTTAATGGTGGATGGACAATGGGATGAAGACTCTGCTTACGGTCCTTTATTTCCTTTCGTTTGTTACACTGGTGAGATAACATTTGTTTGTTAGTACGATTCTATCCGTTTATTTATCAAGATAACAGAAAATTCCTTTGCTGTACATAAAACTTGAATGCTGCCTGTATGGACAGAGTAATGTCTATGAAATATCTTGTCACAGCCTTTGTCACTCAAACTTGAAAAATCTCTCTTCCTTACGCTAAATGTATCAATTAATGTCACATTGTAACTCTGAGGGTGCTAAATACTTATACGGTGTGTTTACCTGTGAAAATGAATTCAGAATTACACTGTTACTATTTTTTGCACATCAAAGCATTCTAGGAAATAATAATGAAAGAATCTAATCTATGTCGTCATTTGTGTCTATTTCAGCCGTTAATGAAACCGCAAAAGTTTATACTTACATCAGCAACGCTGAGACGTGGACCGGTGCCCAAAAATACTGTAGACACTACCACACGGACCTCGCTTTGATTGAGAATTATGCTGAAAATGCTGAGGTCTATTTAGAAGCCCAGAGTTCAAAGGTTTGGATTGGATTGTACCGAGTGCCGTGGACGTGGTCAGACGGCTCTGCACCTAACTTTACCAACTGGGGTGCTCTCGAGCCAGGCGGCACAGATGACAAGGATTCTTGTGCAGTTTTGTCACCCACTGGCAAGTGGTTTGATTTGGCCTGTGAGGACTCGATGCCTTTTATTTGTCAAGGTAAGGCTTCTGTGTCAGGTTTTTGAATTGATGGATTATCAAATGTATGTATGGAATATATATATAAATATATGTGTGTATGTGTGTGTGTGTGTTCTTTTTTATTTCATTGTTTATCTTTTTCTTTAGATATTATACAGGTAGATTACAAAAGTAGAGTGAAGATGCAGATTCAAACAGACGCTGACATGACTGATCCAGCTGTAAACACAGAGATTCTCCAGCAGGTAAAATCAACTCTTCAGTTCTACTGGTTTTAATGTTTAGGATCGGGGTGCCAACCAGAAGATTGATAACATAGCATAGCATTGCATAACAAAGCATAACATAACATTTCTAGAAGAAAAAAAAAGCAGCAGGGCTTCAGTTTCTTTTCAAATCTTATTTGTATTCATGTGACATATGGATGTATGATCGTGTGTTGATGTATCACAGATCCTGCACAACATTGTTTACATCTTTTACAGCTCAGTTCAAGGCTGACCCAGCTGGGACAGATCGATGTCAAACTCCACTGGACAAGTCCACCCTCTAAAAAGAAAGTAAATAATAAATCCTAATCACATGCTCTTTACTGAGTCTTCAACACTATGTAGACGAACTCTTTCGGAATGATTTTGATTTGTTTGCTCAATCGTTTTAGTTAAACTAATAGACAACAAATATGTAAATTAGACCTCTTTAGGGCCCATGTTTGAGACCTGTGCCTTAAAGCAGTGGTCCCCAAGCCTTTTTTTTGTACCACAGACCAATAGCACTGTGCTAATTGTTGAAGGATCATTACAGTTTCAAAATAATGTTTTAGACTTTATTCTGTTAGTATTGGAATCTTGATGACATAATATTTTGAAACATTGTCAGATTATCTTTGAATGAAAAAAGTAAAGGGATATGACTGGATTCTTTATGAATGAAGTAAATTGGTAAAACTGAAGTACATTTTTTTTCACTGTGTCCCACAGCGGCCTGGTATCAAATGACAGACGAACCAGTACCGGTCCACAGACCTGGGGTTGGGGACCCCTGCTTTGGCCAAATTGTAATTGTAATATTTTTTATACTAGGCTGACTTAGAGCCACTTTTGCTTTTTTTGCTCAATTCATGGCATGAAACCTTATTGGCTTATACATTCTTCATAGCATCTTTTTTTAAATTGCAGCTAATTTATACATCTTGAAAATATATACATAGGCTTTTGCAAATGTGAGTATTTTTGCCTGTCTGTGGGAATTTTACTCATTTTGTTGTAGTTTGTGCTTCATTATAACTAAATGGTGACTTTTTTTCTTTAAGATTCTTATGCCAAAGTTCTGAGCTCTGTTTTTACCTGGTTAGATATCAGTAACACCTTTTATGTTATTAATTTGAATGAGAAGCACTGATGTAACGAGTTGCTTTATCCACTTTATTAATCGCACTTGAGGACTGAATAACAGTACATCTGTGTTCACAGTTGGACCTTAAACGAGGAAAACATTAACGCAATCTTTAAAAACAAAATCAAATGCAACTTCAAAGAGGAGTTGAAACGTCCAGAAAAGCATTTTAGCCTGTCTAAACCCTGTCATCCAGCTCCCACTGCTGTGACCAAAAATAAAGAGATCTATTGCACTAATAAATAACCCTTCAATGGTGCCAGGCTTCAAGTGAAGGTTTACAGCTGGTTGTAAAGAAGTAGAAGGGAAACTGAGGATGGTGGGTCGTTCCGTTCCACTTTAGCCCAAACCATTTGGTGCAGCACGGCCAGATTTAGACAAAAATGTTGGGAACGCTCGTAAAAAATCAAAATGAGGGTCAGGCAGAGAAAAAGGGGTTTGACGACAATCAGGAAGTCAAAGTGTGGGTACGAACAGTTCATCTAAGTGCAGAGAAATGTGTATCTCTTTACCTTGTTCAACATTTAAGTTTAAGGTTTAATTATTATTGTTTGATAATAAATAAAATCACCTCCATTTTAAATCCATGCTTGATACCCAAACCTTGATATGGTTCCAAACTGAGTTTCAGGTGAACATGATGTTTTGTGAATGGGTGTAGTCGTACAAATACGACTTTTCACATTAGATTCCAGGGCACTGTTACAAAGTTCAAAATTAATGAGTGAAGAATTAGTGAAAAACAAAAATGTGAGTAATATTCAACGTGGCAGTAGAAAGAGGATGAAGACGAGGAGCCCAGACAGGATGGATGAAGACGGAGAAAGGAGGACTGAGGAGACGGGAGCATGGAGGGAGGTGCAGGAATGTTTCACATGCCTGTCCTCTCCGTGACCTCGGCTCCCCGGAGTGTGGGAGATAGCGGGAGTAATTAGCCTCCTTTAACATTGGAGCTGCTCTGCTGCTGCTCCGCAATGGGGTTAGCAGTGGCATTGAAGGAGATCAAGTGTAATCTCGTCATTCTTTTTTTGTTAGTATTCAGACAAAATATTGTTGACAGACTTCATGGACAACTGTTCACTGTGACAGAACGCAATCGTCTCGATGGTCGTTTCGAAAACAGGTTCTTTTCTGTTTTCAGGGTCTTTTGTTTTCAGTGCTTTTGGGTCGATGAATGCTGTAAATGAGATGCATTATTCTGAACAGGTTCCTCTTCTCCACCCGTCTCACATCAGACCTACTTCATCATCTGTTAGATTTAATCAGGACTCTTCCTAACTGCAGATATTTCCCACTTAGAGTCAGAGATTAAGGACGGCAGTGGGTCTAAATAAAGAAAAACGCAGGCTATAAGGATTGATTTTTCGTTTTTCTTCCCAAAGGCCACACGGTTTCAATCCTGAAAATGCCAATAGTGGGACATCAGTGTTCCACAGTTGCGCTCCAGTGACCTTTATTTAAACCACACCAGTGAGTCTGCAGCTTATCTGATTTACATAAGTCTCAATAACAGCAGGGAGAAAGGAAACACACATTATTGCACATAGTTGGACTGTTTTCTTTGGAAATGTGGTTGAAATTTGCCATTTATCTAAAAAAACAACCAAAACGATATTTATATTTTGCAAATACTAAAAGTATTAAGTAGCTCAAACAACAACACCGTTTTTTCATAAAAGAACAATTTAAAATTAAAAGTTTTTTTTGTCATTGGTTGGTGTTCACCTAAATCTTTTGGGTCATTTTCACCTTTCAGAAAGGAATTTTATTAAGACAAAATGTTTCATTTTACTTTAAAACATTAAAGAATTCAAGGACTACAGTAAGTATAACATGAAAAAAGACAAACTTATAACATGATAATATATTATATATTTTGTTAGACGTTTAATACCAAAGGTTAAAGTTATTAATTTGACTTTGCAACAGATTTTGAAAATCGAAATTGGAACATGCATATGTATATATACATATGTAAAATTCTGAAAATAATTGTCAGAAAGTTTCATTTTATCCAAAGTTAAATTTAAAATTCTGAAAATAATTGTCAGAAAGTAGGACAAAGACTACTTATGCCAGGGATCTGAGTGTTTCACCCCAAAATACTGACATTAAAGGTGAAACTACTGCTTTCAAGTTGATTATTAATTGATTGTTAAAATCGAATTTAGTTGAAATATTTTTTTATCGAATTGTTCTAAATATATTGCGATAAATCGCCAATAGAAACCATAAAAAGTCTACACTTTTTATCTTAGTCTACACTTTTTATGTTAGAAAACATTTTATTTAACAGATAGCCTCAAAACTTATTATTTTTAGATTCCTAAGTATAGTGAAATTGAAAAAAAAGGAAATTAATAATCGCGAGATAACAGTCGGAATTCGGTTTTTAGGATAATGAAAAGTAAATATTTAATCCCAATTAATTTAAGGGAAGCGTCCAAAGACCTGATTTAACTTTAATATTGGAATGGTCTTTAGGATAATTCAAAAAAATAATCATAAAACAAACAGGAAAAGTTTTCCCGATCTGCTGCTGGTGAAGATGGTGGCGGTGACGTCACCTCCGGCTGGGTCATGTGTAGGTCAGTAGCAGCAGCATTAGGTTCATGGAGAGTTCAGCTGCATACATTAGAAAAAAAACACCATCGCTCCAGTGACATAACGAGTCTGAAGCAGGTTCAGCTCGGAGACATCCGTCAATGAGCAGCAGATAAGGAGGAAAAAGGAGGAGAAATGATGGAGTAACCGCTACTCCCGCAGAGCCAAGTCCTAATCTGGATTAAACCGCTGCAGGACTGAAGTTAAACATGTCAACTGTGGTTTACCGACGGAGCTAGGTTTGTTTCCGCGGTGTACGCGCACGGACTCCGGTACAGACTCCGGTGCAGACTCCGGTGCAGAGTCCGGTAGCTCTGCTCTAACACCGAGGCTTGATTTTGATTTCTATTATTATTATTATAAAAGTCTTTGTTTCTGCCTCAGATGGTCTAAAGGAAACAGCGCAATGTTTGACTTCATGGACTTTCACTGCTTGGGTTCTTCTGAGATCCTGGATCTGTACACCTTATCCCGACCCGTCTGTGTTCTACAAGACCAGGACCTGGACCAGAACCAGGATCTGACAGCCTTTTTCCCAGAACTCATCAGTGAGTCAGACTGGCAGGAGCCGCACAGCTCACAGTGTACGTTCCACCATTATTATTATTATTATTATTATTATTATTATTATTATTATTATTATTATTATTATTAGCTGTAGTATCTTATTAAGTATTAATATTAATTTATTTCAGTAATATAAAAATGCTGCTCAGTGAGGTCCATAGCATTGAACCAAAAACGGATATAGAGTATCACAAAGAAAAACAAAGAAATGTTTTTTTAAATTATATAATATTATTTTATATTTTAATTACTACTGTAACATTTTTTATCAATGTATAGTATAGTCAGTCTGTCCGTTTGTCAACTATTTTGTTTTGAGTTTTTTTTTTTTTTTAGCTAACTTTAGGTACTTAGCATGCTTAGCTTTGGCTAATTTTGTAACATTTAGCTTTTTCTGTGCTGGCTAGTTTTGCTATTGTTCTTATTATCCTAAGATATTAATATATAATTTTAAATGGATTCTTTGTTTATGTATATATTCCTACCAACTTTTGAATTTTTACATTTATCCTAATTTGCTAATGTACAAAAAGAGTACCAGAAGGCTAGCTGAACATACTGCCTAAAAGACCCAATTAACAACATCTGCTTTTTTCTTAAATGTATTTCATAAATTAATATTTTTGTGCTTTGGATTAGAGAGTATTAATTATCATCCCATCCAAGTTTATCCACTGGTTTTGGTGAGTTTCCTCCTCCAGCAGCAGTAAAAGAGCGTGACAGTGAGTCTGGCTGCTGTTAGTTGGCTGGCTCTGTTTTTGGGACGGGGCATTTTAGGGTCACTGTGGGTTCATGGTACGGTCACCAGATCAGGAGGTCAGAGGAAGACTAGTGCTCTGGTGAAGACAATAAACCTTAAAATGCCTTTGGAACATTACATTTCCCTTAGAAGTATTAAATATTATTACAGTATATATATATTTTTAAAAATGATTAATAAATACAAACATCTATTAATTTATATACCCCCCTTGGGGATATATATTTTTTAGAGGATTAATAAATACAAACATCTATTAATTGTAAGAGATGTTAATCGGTTTTAGATTGCACTTCAAACTTGCAGTGTCATTAGTTTTTCATATACTAATCAGTAGAAATGTCATTTTTATTCAATTACTGTTGGGCAGTAGCTAAAATGTTAAGTTTGTCTAAAATGTTAAGTTTAAATTTAGTTCAAAATCGACAATTAGTGGCCGAAATGCTAAGAACAATTGTGAAGGTACTCCTAAATTGTAGGAATTTATCACATTACTGAATGTCCAGAGAAAACCAGGTTGAAACCAGAAAAAAAAAAAGAAAACATCAGGGATTTGTATTTCATTTGTTAGGACATAAATAAAAAATAAGCAAAAAATTCTCAAAAGGACTACATTTAAGAGCAAATGCAACAGAAGTGTCCAACCAAGGGCTATATGTAGCAAAAATATCAAAAAAAGCACAAAATTGTTTAAAAAATTACAGTTTTGGGTTGGACAAACCCGGAGTTTGGACCTCCCTGAAACAGATTCTCATCCCATCATCACAGCTCATGGTCTGTTTCAAACACTTCTTATCCATTGTCCATTCTTATGTTTTACATATTCTCTAACAGCGGCTAAATCGGGGCTGGGTCAGTCTTTTTACCACCCCCCCAGCTCCCTGTACCTCCGACCACATCACTCTAACTGCCCCACTGGCTCACCACAGACACTTTCTGTTTCTGCTCATCACTCACTCAGGCCTGCAACATGCTCCTGCATTGTTAAGTGTTGAGAGAGAACTCTGGCTGATTGGGGGGTGGTGTTCTGCATTTGATCCCCCCATTCCAGGTTCATCCAGAGGCCATGAGTTCAAGGGGACAGAGATTTCTCTCATTTATTTTGTTTTTTTGTAGCGAGGGCTACTTTGTTTTTAGTCCCAGTGTTGGAGCACAGTGTGAGCGGAGGGAGCGCCACACGCTGGAGATGATCGGTAAAAACATTTTGATTTATGGAGGGACATGAAGATTATCAAATAACATTAACATGAGACACAACAGAGCTGTCCTGGTCCGGTTGACAAAATTAAAAAAAAAAAAATTCTTTCCTATATATTTCAACTGCCTTTTAGGTTTTACCGGGGTTTCCTGAAAAGATAAACAACAACACAACTGACTCACAGATGAGTCAAAGACATGACACAAAGTAATTAAATAAAATTTAAAAAAAACTAATGGCCAATGTCATTGATTCTGAAACCAAACATGAACGGCTAATTTCTTAAAAAATGCGTAAATAAAATATGAAATACCAAATAAAAAAACTCTGGACTATGTTTAAAAAAAAAACAACCAAATAAAGTAACTACATAAGAACTGAAAACATACTACAGCATTCAACAGTGTTAGAATAAAAGACAAACACGGACTAATTTGGAAAGTACAGGAACTACAAAGTAGCAGAGATGTTTATATATATATATATATATATATATATATATATCTGAACGATACACCACACAGTGCAGAACAGACAAACTGTTATCACAAAGATAAACTATGAAAACATTTAAAGAAGCGTAATGATTTGTAAGTATAAGCCAAGTCACCATGTAATTAAAGAGATAACTAGCACGTGTAACAGACCATAAAAACAACAAAAGAAAAACGAAGGCCTGTGACACACTGACATCTAAAATTCCAAATGGTTAATTCAAACAGTTTATTTTTTAACACCATTAATCGCTTTTATCATGAGCGGAAAACATAAAATCATGTGTTTTACTACCTGTAAACTAAATTTTCTTATTTTATTTGTATTCTTCGTCGAGGTTGAATTACTCTGAGCTGTGATCTTGTGTCGTCAGCCCTGTCACCATGATGTGTGTGTGTGTGTTCGCAGCAGTAGGCAGCCAGAGGTTCACCTGCAGCTCCAGCTCCAGCTCGGACGACACGTTGACCAGCCCCACCTCGCCGCCGCCACCCCCCCGCACTTACAAGCCATGTTTTGTGTGCCAGGACAAGTCCTCGGGTTATCACTATGGAGTCAGTGCCTGTGAGGGCTGCAAGGTAACACAGTGATGAGCCAGTTTTGAATATGTTACTATGTGTACAGCACTGTAGATTTGCTTATAACGCCCACTAGTGGCTCTGGAATATTACACTAATGATCCCTGTACTCCAGCTTTCCCCATTGTTTTATTTTAGCTTGTGACCCCTTTTTTACATCAAAAAATTCTAGCGAACCCGGAGACGGTCATGTGTCAGTTATTTTTATATACTGTATTTTATTTGAACTTGATTATTCTCATGAAATTGAAAGAATACGGTTATTTAAGTTTGTGTATGGTGTTTTTAATCTTTTTTTTTAAAATAATTAGTTGAAAAAAAATGTATCAATAATTTTTTTTATTATAATTGCTAGAAATTTCAGGTGCCCCCCACTTGGGGTTGTAACCCCAAGGTTGAAAAAACGCGTCACAGTTGCGTTAAGCATGTCATGCTTGGGATTTTCTGGAACATTATTATGCATGTTTCCTAACTGCTCTTCATTTCTACGTCCACATACGCCGTCTACAGCAGATGTTTCTTGAGAAAGCAGTTGTAAATCTTTTTAGCTAAGCCTAGAATTAATTCCTCCTTTTTCCACCTGGTGTACTGTACCACAGGGCTTCTTTCGCCGCAGCGTGCAGAAAAACATGGTTTACACCTGCCATCGTGACAGAAACTGCATCATCAACAAGATCACCAGGAACCGCTGTCAATACTGTCGGCTGCAGCGGTGCTTCGCTGTGGGCATGTCTAAGGAGTGTGAGTGTCTGATCCTCCTTCTGTTAGTTCTCACTGTGCCTTAGGTTTCACCACTCATCAGACAGACATCCGTGGTTCTGATAATGTAGGCTTTTAACCTCGGTTGATTCAGATTCAACTGAAGTTGCCACAACAGAGCTAACAGGGCTAGCAGAAA